GAACATCAATAGCTAATCTGCACTCGTCGGTTTGACCCCAAGGCCCTGCTCTGCGGGGGACCAGCCAGCAATCGTTCCAAGTGGTCCTCCTTTGCGGATTCTGGGCCTTACATGACAAAGACCCTCGCTTTTGAAGAGTCAAGTGTTCACATCTATCTAATCTATATCTAGAATAATGTGAATCTAAAATTTTCCAAAATTTCCTTGAGCCAAAGTCAATCCTGAGTTTGATGCCACATGTCTGGCATTTTTCACCTAGAGACACTACATTGATGTCAACATTGATGTTGAAATTCGTGACGACCGTGTCTTGGTTTGCTCGTGAGGTGTGTCGTTAAAAAAAAGGGTCGTTGCATGTGAATACATAATAGGTCTCGCTTGCCTGTCCTCATCCTGTAGAGTGGGACTGACGAATGCGTTCGTTATTTTAACGTGCTGGTGCCCGTATACCTCGCACCCCCAATTCTCTCTATATTCTTTTTCTTTCCTAGAGAAACCGACTACCCTCTAGCAGTTTAACATCCCGATGATCCTGAAATTCGGAAGATGATCGAGAGTGAGCCTTTTAAGGACATCCTGAGGTCCGGGGTGTGTCAATTAAGAAGGCGATTGATCAAGTGCAATGTTAGGCGCGCTAAGAATTAATTTTCGAAATTGGTAATCGGAGAGATTAAATCCCGACAACTTTAAAAAAGGGCCGATCATATTCAACGCCTAATAAAAATCTGTCAAATTATTTTGTAAACTAGTTTTCACTAAATCTTGCATTATACACAGGAGAGAGGGTTGGGTAACACATTCCAATGTTTTGTTTTTGTTTGTGTAGGGTCGTAGATAGCTCCTTCCACCCGCATACGATTTTTTCAAAGCATATTGGAAGTCCTAAATCATATGTATGGAATCAATTAAGTTCTACACTTTTTAATCAGCGTATTCAAGCCTCAAACCGTTTTCAAAAAATGCGAACATGTCCTGTCGATTAATGGTACCAAAATTCGTCTTCTTAGTACTCGAAAATTGTCTACGCAACAACCTTGAACTGCATTTCCCAGTATTAGTTTAGGACTTAATCGCACTATTTTCAAGCAATAGGTTTACGACTCGATCGTACCAATGAAAAGTTTTACGACTCACATTATTAAGGACTTGCTCCGCACGTAAAGTTCGAAACTTTTGATGCAATTCTCACTCTTTTTATACAAATTAATCGTTCACGGACAGCTTTACTATGCAAACGTCAGCTAAATATATATAATATGAACTTTAGTACGATTTAATAATGTTCAGCTCGAGTCACCCAACTGCTGTCCAGACAATCTTCTGTACAAAACAAAATGGGCTGTTCATTCGTTTACAGGCTCAAAGTGCAAGCCCAACAACTAGCGTGGAGTAATCCTCTTTGTTTCCGACCCTTCGATGGTCAGAAACATAGCTAGAGTCCAAGTGAAAAATGGGCTTTCAAGTAGATCCAATAGTAACTCCTTCAGCCTCCGTTCTGTGAAGGAAATCTTCAGATAGGAAAGGAGGACAACAAGGGGAGCTTTCCTCTCCCGATCTGGTTAGATCGGAGAGTTTTGGTGTATATGCTTTCAATTCCCCTGGGTTTCGTTTGTGTACGAGTGTAGCTTCGATGGCGATCGCAGGGACTCTGGCGTCTCTTACTTGCTGAAGGGATTGCTCCCACATGCATCGGATTCATGCTCGTTTAACTTGTTTTCTCCCGAACGGTAATAGTGTTGGAAATGCCGAATCTAGGCGTTTGCCACTGAATGGCAAAGCCGTAGTGAGAGAGGGAGATGCCGGTGTGTGCTCATCACCAATGACGCGAGATTCGGTGATCGGCCGCCGATTGTGTGGATATCTGTTCTTGTAGCACGAGCGTGCTTACCCCTACTAACCATGCTTTGATGATCCATCTAGATATCTAGAACTTGTTTTGTTTCGAAGCTTTCTAGGTTTTCCTCCGGTTTTGCAGTGTTCTTGAATTGCGAGGTACCTCTCACGTATCTTTTTGGAAATGAATGAAATTTTCTTTTGACAAAAAAAATCTCCGAATTCTTTTCTTCTTATTTTTTTTGGATAGCTTAGATAATGCAAGAACACAAGCTGAGAAACCTAGCAACTTAGGGCCTGTTTGGTAATCGGCCAAACAATGCCTGATTTTATTTTTTTGTTCCTGGGAACAAAAAAAGAACAGAAATCTATTTGCTAAATTTTTTGTTCTCAGACACAAATTTATTACCATAATCAGTTTTGGAACAGAATCAAGAATAAAAAAAAAGTTGATTCTTGATTCTGGGAACAAGAATCATAAATGGAAATTTTTTTTTTTCTTCTTCTTCTTCCTGGCATGTGGTCGGTGGCCGACGAGGGCCGCGACGCCCTCACTGCCACCCTCACTAGATCCGACGAGGGCGGCCCTCGCCCAGGCTGCGAGGGTCCAGCCCTCGCCCTCGCCCTCGCCCAGGCCGCGAGGGTCCAGCCCTCTCCCTCGCCGGCGAGGGTGCCCGGCTAGGGCCGCGACGCCCTCATCGGCCCTGGCTTGTGGCCGGTCGCCGGCGCCGGCGATCTGGCCATGGGCCAAGGAAGGAGATGAAGTAAAAAAGAAAAAAAAGAGAGAAAGAAATATTAAAAAATTCAAAATATTATCAAAATATTATTAATAAAAAGAAATTTTGTGTAGTTACCAAACGCATTTCTGTTCTTTTTCTATTCCAGGAATAGAAATTTTGGGCAGTTACCAAACGCTTTCTAATGCTTAAAAATTGTTTCTGAGAATGGAATAAAAAAAAAAATTATTTCTGAGATTGTTTTCGGGAATAGAATGGTTACCAAACGCACCCTTAATGGTTCATTGAACACCTCAAAGCCCAAAAACCGGTAAATGAGCTAGAACTATTTGCGCAGCTAGAGAGATTTGAATATATAAGATCTTCAATTCATAAACTGAAAATTCCGCAATGTAATGTAACTATGTCATTCCTGGGGGCGTTCTATACTCGAGCTATTAGCATATAAGAAGTGTTCAGAACCAACGGTTCCAACCAACGTAACTTCCTCAAAATTTGGCAGAGCGGGAGGTGAAGAAAGAAAGTGAAAAATGTAATTTAATTTTGCCTCTTCTCCATATACGCAAAAAATTCTAAAATTTTGGCTATGTTTGTTTGAAATCTTAAAAAGAACCAAAAAATATTTTTCATCGTTTGGAAAATGAAATTCTTTTTTGATTTTCCTAAATAGATATATATTATTCGAGTGCTAATAATTTGCGCACAGGAGGTGGGGAACCGTGCATGAGCATTGGGTCCCAGATTCAGACTCGATGGACCCTGGCCTGAGTGCCGGGGACACGAGCACAGGCATCTGGGTCCCAAGTCCACAGAATTGGGCTCGAGAACTTGGTGTCCGTGCCCGGCTCCTTAGCACCCCGGCTCGGGTCCATAGAGGTTCAGTCCAAGTCCATCGAGGGTGGACCCTAGTGCCCTAGCTCGGGTCCTCGGTGTCCATGCTCGGGTCCTTGACACTCGAGCCCCTGGTCCATCGTGGCTAGGCTTAAGACCCAATGCTCGTGCCCGGGTCCCTAATAACTAGGTCCAGGTCCTCTGTGCCCGAGTCCGGATCCATAGAGGCCAGGCCCATGTCAATCGAGGTTGGGTCGGGGATGCGGTACTTGTACCTGAATCCCCGGCACCCGGGCTCAAGACCCCAGTGCCCGTGCATGGATTCCCTACACTCGAGCCTCACTCCATTGATGCTGAGGCTTGGGACCCTGGTGTCCATGCTTGAATCTAATCGATGGACTCGGGCGTCAGGGACCTAGTCATGGGCATAGGCACCATGGGCCTAAGCTCAACCTCGATCCCGGGCTCAAGACCCCAGTGCCCATGCATGGATTCCTTGCACTCGAGCCTCACTCCATTGATGCTGAGGCTTGGGACCCTGGTGTCCATGCTTGAATCTAATCGAGGTCGGGCTCGGGACCTGGCACCTGGGCTTAGGTCCATTGAGGTTGAGCTTAGGCCCATGGTGCCTATGCCCATAGGTCCCTGACGCCCGAGTCCATCGAGCGTGGGCACTAGGGACTCAAGCATTGATAATGGGGTCTTTGGCCTAGCGTCGGTGGACCAGGGCTCGGGCCTTGGGGACCCAATTTCTAGCATGAGGACCCGGGCACAGGCATTAGGTTCCTAGGCTAGGCCTAAATAGTCCCAGGCTTAGCCTCGATGGACCTCGGTGGGCCCGGTCTCGACTTCTAGACCCGAGTCCGTTGCCAACGGCTTGGGAACAAGCATAAAAATTCCTGTGTCAAAGTGTAGAGTTTATGGTTTAAGTGTTGATGTCTAGTCATATTTTTTAAAGAAGAAATCATTTTTCTGAATTTAAGCAAATATTTTTTATTGACTAGGAAAATATCTTCAATTGATTCATTTTCCTAAGCTATCGAAATGCTGGAAAAAACTTTCCGCGAAACAAATAGGGCTTTTCACTCCTCCCATTTCCCCTAAGTTTCCTGGACAAAGCACAAACGTTGTTATTTCTGCCGAATGGAGTACTTGCTGGATTTTCAGTTTCGGTCGAAGCCAAATTTCGGCAGATGGGATAAAAAATCCAACTCAAAAACTTGCTTATCCTTTAACGCGATGCTGGTCTGTCAATTTTCAGGTACCTCGTCGCTTGTGATCCTAAACACATGCATGATGCATAATTACATCTTGATTAGCAACTTGGATCTTGATATCCGGAGGGTGCAAATGCTCCCACCACAGATGGGGAATCACCAATCACCAACTAATCCGGATTGCGCCTCGTCGGCTGATCCCAACAAGCTTTTGTGCGTCGACTTCATTGCAAAAGTCAGCTTATGTCGCTCAGTGGTGAGGTGGCAACATTCATCTGGTGTTGAGCCCGACTCAAGATAATGATTCCTTGAGCAATCCCAGATTCATTTTCAAGCTGAAATGGCCCCTCACCTAAATGGTATCCACAACTGCACAAGAGCGCCAGTTGCTGCTTCAGCATAAATTGCATTGCGGATCTTCCCTCCCATGCATCAGTCTTCAAACGTTTGTTTCTCCAAGCGCCACTTTCGATTCTTCTTTAGCACGAATCGAAAAGGAAACAGAAGGCCCGCATAAAATAAGACAAGACAAAGGGAAGAAAAAAGACATGAACATTATAAACAACATTGTTGTATTTCCACTTGTGCTCTTCCTCATCATCCCCAAAACCTTGGCCCAGCCGTCCCAAGGCCCTCCAAGCCTCACCAAGATCCTCCAAGATGCTGGCAACTTCACGGATTTCCTCCGGCTGCTCAAGATCACCCACATGGCCGGCCAAATCGCCACTCAGCTCCAGAACTCGAACGACGGCCTCACCATCTTAGTCCCGCCCGACCCTGCCTTCTCGATCCTCAAGTCCGGGTCTCTGAACAGCCTCAGCGATAAGCAACTAGTGCAGCTGATCCAGTTCCATGTCATCCCGCAGTTTCTCTCCAAGCCCTTGTTTCAGACCGTGAGCAACCCATTGAGGACGCTGGCTGACGGTAATAATGATGGCGCATTCCCGTTGAATATCACTGTCGCTGGCACTGAGCTCAAGGTGTCCACTGGCATCGATGAGGCGACGGTGGGCGAATCGTTGTACTCAGATAACCAGCTGGCAGTTTACCGGATCGACCATGTTCTTCTTCCTCCGATCATCTTTCCATCACCTTCGGCACCGGCGCCAGAGAAGCCTGAGAAGAAGCAGCCTGCCCCTTTGACGACCTCGTCTACGCTGAAGAAAATGGTCGATGGCCAGACTTCGCTGACCGTCGGATTAGCTGCTGTGCTATTGCTTCTTGATTTTTAATGTGGCGTGAAATTTTAATCCGTTCATGGTAGGACCGATTTTATGCGACAAGATGGACACGCCTTTTTCAGTTTGTGTAACTGAGCTTCTTGTTCCAAAATAAAATCATGTAATTGCCATGAGAGATATGAGCTGGATGATAAATTGTTCTTCATAATTCTTGCAATATGATCTGGTATTTTTTTCCGTGAAATCCATGATCTACAAAGACCGAACACTAAATAGAACTAGGGGCGATTGGTTCAAGGTTCCCAATTTTGGGAACCGGAGACCGGTCCAATGAAACTGGTCACTTAGGGTTTAGTTCACATTTTATTAATTTTTTTCAATGAACTTATGTCAACGAAGTTCACTTAGGGTTGAGTTCACATTTTACTAATTTTTTTGAAGAAATAAAAAAAATATATGTAGTTGGTCCGGTCCGCTTCTCCCTTGGAACCAGGAAACCAGACTGGACCACCTGGACACCGGTTCCACTTCTAGGAATTGGGAACCAGATCGATACTCCTGGGAACCGGACCAAACCGGCCGGTTTCCAGTTTAGATGGTCCATTTTGCACACCCCTGAACTGAACAATATTATTTTTGAGATGGATAGAGATTCTCTGCATTTAAGGGGTAACAAACAATACTGATTCTGAGATGGATAGAGATTCTTTGCATTTAAGGGGTAACTGTAGTGCAATGCAGTCATCCCAACGTGACCAAAGATGTCCCTAGATTTAGAGATTTAAATTGAACTCCTCTCTCTATCCCTAGCCGCCTTGTCCTCGATTTTGCCTCCGTCGCTGCTTGCTCACTGCTGCCTTCATTGCTCGTCGCCACTGCGGCGCTCAACCACCATTGTCGTTCGCATGGCCTGTCACTTGTCGCGGCTAAGGTCGGTTAACCTCAGATGATCCAGTTCCAAGGTCATGCTGCTAATCTGACAGCTAAATGGATGCAACAGGAGAAGGGTACAATATGAGTACTCCTCACCTCTTGCATCAGATTTGAGTGAAGAATTCACATTGCTGTACAGTAGATTATGTCAAAGTCTGGTGTTATTTGATGTTTGGAATGGTATTGTTAGCTTGATACAATGAATTGGTTATGAGTATGCTTTCCATTTGTCGCTCCGTGGATCCTATGAATTAGAAAGTTTATGAGACTAGAAAGATTTGTGGAACAGAGCCATGGTGTCTCGAGACTAAAAGGCAATCCCTTGTTTGAGGCCAATGTGGTCATAGTTGTGAGATATCATACATGTCTCCGACATTCATGACTCTCTTCCAAGACCCTTCACGATATCAGAGCCATTTAATTAGATCATACTATGATTATGATTCTATACTTAGGATATACCAATACCGACGGGAAGAAACTATTCATAATATAAAAAACAGACCTTTTATATAAGGGAAAATACCAAAAAAAATCCCAAACTATGCCACTTGTGACAAATTTACCCCGAACTTTTTTTGTGACAAGAAAAACCTTAAACTATGCCACTTGTGATACATTTACTCCACAATATTTTGGCCCCATGGGCATTTTCGTCTTTTTCATTTTTCTGTTTTTTTTCCTTTTTTTTTTCTTCTCTCTTCCCTCTGCCGGCCATGGTGGAGGGAAGCCGGCGAGGGCTGCCTTCGTCGGATCTGGCGAGGGCGACCCTCGCCGGCGTCGGGCGAGAGTCGCCCTTGCCTGGCTGGGCAAGGGCAGCCCTCGCCTGAGTCAGGTGAGGGCTGCCTTCGCTTGGGCCGGCTCGGGTAACCCTCGCCGGATCTGGCGAGGGCGACCCTTGCCGGCATCGGGCGAGGGTCGCCCTTGCCTGGGCGGGCGAGGATCGCCCTCGCCTGAGTCGGGTGAGGGCTGCCCTTGCCTGGGCGGGCAAGGGCGACCCTCGCCGGCAAGGGCCGCCTTGCCAGTTTGCCTCCACCATGGTCGGTAGAGGGAAGAGAGAAGAAAAGAAAAGAAAACAAAAAAAGGAAAAAGACGAAAATGCTCATGGGCCAAATTATTGCGGGGTAAATGTGTCATAAGTTGCATAATTTAGGATTTTTCGTGTCACAAGAAAAGGTTCAAGGTAAATTTGTCACAAGTGGCATAACTTGGGGTTTTTCGTGTTACAAAAAAAGTTCAGGGTAAATTTATCATAAGCGGCATAGTTTTGGGTTTTTAGTGGTATTTTCCCTTTATATAATATTCCTGTTGTCATAAATGCCTCCGAACTCTTAATTCTTCAAACTCTTAAAGCAGATCCAAGCTTTGAAGCTCAATTATCTTTATGAAGTTTCCTGCTTTAATGAAGATGATAAGATCTCTAACACCCACCTTCCTTTTGTAAATCCGTATTCAGCCTTTGCTAAACCTACATCTTTCTAACCAATCTATTCCATAAGGAAACTCATCCAACATACTCCTAAGGAAGTTAAAGAGTATGCTCAATCAACTTGAATTGATCAATATCCTATTCTTGATACCCAGCAAAAACATTTTGTGAACTTAAAAACTCTTGAAATTCTTGCGGCTAAGGCTTACTCAAGGCTATGCCAATCACCTAGCTTTAACCTTTCATGGCCGGAAATGACTTCCAGTAGTGGCCCGCATGGCACTACTTGATACTCGGTTTCTTGACTATCAACACGCTTGCCCCTTTGTGGATCCCGTGGATTAAAAAATTTCCGAGATCAGAAAGATTTATGGAATAGAGTCATAGTGTCTGGAGCTTAAAAGGCAGTCCCTTGTTTGAGGCTAATGAGGCCACCGTTATGGAATAACATACTTGTCGTAGACATTCATGACTCTCTTCTATGACCCTTCATAGTATCCGTCATCTTTGCGTTATATATTTTGGCTTCTTAATTCTGGTAACCGAAACTTCTTCCACATGCCATCATGAATCAATGAATTCAAGGAACATTCGACATCCAATATATCATCATAGCCAATAAATTTGGCTTTGTAAAGGGGCGAATGACTCTTGAAACTTTCCCATCATCATACTATGCTAAAAACCACTTCATGTTTGGAAAATTCGACCTATCAACCATGGACAAAAAATGCTACAAAAAGAGGGGATATGGTTGAGATTCGTGCACGAAGTGAGGGGTGAAACACAAAATCAAAGAGATGCAATGTCAACCGAGCCTTCCTTGAGGAAGGAAGCAAGATGATGAAGGAGGCAATTGTCAACCGAGATGCAAAGTCAACTTTAACCGGAAATTATCCACTCATCCAATTAGCTCATGGAGGTGGGGCCCGGACCAGGGGCAAACCCCACCCAATTAGCTTGCGAGGTTGAGAGGATCCCATCCAATTAGGTGTCGAATGTCGATTGCTGTCGGGCCCACCTCGGAGATCACAAAGCAATCATTAACATGATAGCTGCTGCATCTTACTTCTTCCAATTTTGTGGTGATAGATCTCAGTAATCTCTCAAATCACCACACCGTGCAAAGGATGATCTTGTTGACGTTTTTTTTTATCTGGAATCCAAGATTATTAGCAAGCCGTTCGAAGAAACATATGATTTTAGATGAGTTGTATGAGTCTCACATAAATTTCTTGTGATTAAATTGAGACGTCTCGTGATATTAAATGATTTGACTCTCAATCGTTCATTTTAACCGATATATATATATATATATATATATATATGCCTCTTTGGCCTGTCTTCATATGGCTTATGTTTTCGGAACGAAAGATTTACCTACCATGAAATGGGAGCATATATTTTGAATTCGAATCTTTTATTTATTTTTTCTTTGGTTAATGATTTTTAGGAAAAAAAGATTTAACGAGGAAATCTTTCGCATTTTCATCGTTCGTTTGTGTGAGTTAAGTAAAATTTGATGTAAGAGTAAAATTAGAAATGATGTAAATATGAGAACAACCTCATTTTTTTCATCTGTAATCGTAGAGATATTTGCACGAATGTTTAACTATTTATGGATGTTAGAAGAAAAATTTGATGGGGATGTTGCTTAACCTTATGAAATTATGACCCAAAAACCTTATGAAGCTGGTTTTTCCTCTATGGTCATGTCAACGGTGTCTTCACCACGTTTGTTAAGCACATGTAACTTTTTATTTTTGGTCGAAAGCACATTTAACTTGAAATAGTTCATTTTTAATAAAATACTGCATATAACACGAGAGCAGTCAGTGCATTGAAAATCAAAAAGTTTCCTTAATCAATTGTTAAGACAATCGTTAATCAAATCTTGCCGAGACATTCATTAACATAATCGTAACATTAACTTTCTGAAACTTCCTAACTCTGGATCATCAGTCCTGGACATATATTTCAACATCCACTTGAAATGCACCCTCTGTTTTTTCCCCTAACAATAAGCAAACGATCCTCAACTTCACCAAAACGGGGCCAAAAAACCATCACTCATCATCAACAAGGAAATCTCATCTATCTTCCAGCCAAATTAAACCCCAAATATCTCAAAATTAGCATCGAAAATCTCTAGCTAAAAAATGGTTACCTCGTACCTAATTTCAGTTGTCTCTCATCACATCAGTTCATATGTCTCTCCCTCCATTCGCACCTCTCAAAATAAATAGATCACTCCCTCATCTTCCCTTACCATCGAATCCAATCCAAAAACACTTGCTCAAACACCATCAAAGCCTTCGCAAGTCTTATTCTTAGAAGAACAAACGAAAGCAACAATGAAGCACCAATTCATTGTCCTCTCACTCCTATTCCTCATCTGCACAGCCCCAACCTCAGCTCAGCCAGCAGCCTCCCCAGCACCCCCGCCAGAGTTGCCGACGCCGTCTCCTGTGTCCCCGCCGCCAGATTCCCCTCCCCCGCCGCCGCCCCCCCAAGCCAGCATCTTGAAGATCCTCGAGAAGGCGGGCGGCTTCACTGTCCTGGTCAAGCTCCTCCGCAGCACCCACGTGTCTGATCAGGTGAACTCGCAGCTCTCCGACCTCAATGACGGCATCACCTTCTTCGCGGCGGACGATGCCGCCTTCTCGGCCCTCAAGGCCGGGACCCTCAACTCCCTCTCGAACGAGCAACAGGTGCAGCTCCTGCAGTTCCACGTGGTGCCCACCTACCTGTCCATGTCCCAGTTTCAGACGGTGAGCAACCCTCTCATGACCAAGGCCGGGGGCACAGGCGGCAAAGAATTCCCGCTCAACGTCACCACGAACGGCAACCGAGTCAGCGTCTTCACCGGGGTCGACGGGGCCTCGGTGACAAAGACGCTGTACACGGACGGCAAGCTCGCGGTGTATCAGGTGGACAAGGTGCTCCTCCCCCTCAGCATCTTCTCGGTGGACGGCACCTATGCGCAGGCGCCAACTCCGCCAAGGAAGAAGCCTGTCGAGCTGGGCGTCTCGGGCTCGAGTGAAGTCGGGAAGGTGAAGACTGGGGACGTCCTTCGTCTAGTCGTCGGTGTTGGGGTCGCCGGTGTCGTCGCTTCGCTCGGTTTGTGATCTGAAAATGGCGATTTTCTGGTTTTTTCAGTAAATTGGTAGTAGCTCCTTTTGGTTTCCCAGTGCACAACGTGTTGATATGGGTCGAGAGACGATATCTCTCTTGAAACTGGATTTGTTTGTTTTTTTTCCGTCTCTCCTTTTGTTTCTTCCTTTGGGTATTTGTGACCATCGTTTTTGGATTCGAATGTAATAAAGTCTTCTCTTTTAACTTGTTTCGAGTTTCCATATGGTCTAAATGTGGATATTTAGAGTCATATTGCATTATATCTGCATCTGAAATACTATAATCTATGTATTTAGTCAAATATATTCTAAAACTATAGAACCTTATAGCTGGGCGAGGGAACTTCTTATTTAGGAAGTTTGTCTACGATGCACTCCGCAACATCCCCTTTCGCGGCTATAGTTGCTGCAAGAAAACTGTACCAAACAGACTTTACCATACGTCCTATTGATATGTGTCAATTTAGGCCTACCCAGCTTTAGTAGGCTCAATGGAAGGGGGACAGGTTCGGGAGGGTAAATCTTGTGTTGAACTTGTCACATTAAATATGTTGTTATTTTGAACCTGTCTCGAACCCACTACGAGTTTCAACATGAAATCCCGAATCCTAGCTCACTAAAGTAGTTGGGATTGTTTTAGTAAACAAATATTGCCCATCAAACAAATAATAAACCACATCAAATTTGTAAGTACAAGAACTTATTCACCGCTCACACCTTGTAGATCTGTAATTGGGAAACCTACGAAATGACAAAATAGCAGGTATTGAAAAAAAAACATCAAGATCGATGTCATAAAAATCTAATAATCCAAGAACCCTAAAATGAGAAGCCAGACTATATGATCTTGCTACTGCAAGTGGTAGATTACAATTGATTATGCTTAGGGGTTCACAAAATTGTGTAAGTAACCTTAAGGTTTTGACAACAGCATTTGGGTAGTTAGAGAAATGATTTATCATGTTCATGTTTCTAATTCTACTAGTCGGGTAAATCTAAGAGACGTCTCAAATACTAGCAGGATTAAAGTAATTATGGATATTTACTAAATTACCTAAGAACCATGAGGGAAAAATAAGAGCATTTTAATTATATATATATATGTATATATCAAGCCGAGACACGTTTATGTTGTAATGGGAATCGAACCGGAGGGGTACCCTATTATATCAGCCTTCTTGCCTGCACTTATCAGTTACTTCCGACTTGAACTTAGGACCATCCTTTCAATATTTCAAAACGAAGAATTTAGTTTAAATTTTATTAATTTATGAAAATTTATAAGCAATGTAACATGTCAATATCTGAATAATATGAGAGATCTCGAATATTTCGGGTTAAAAAATATGAAAAGAGTTCCACAATTCATACAAGAAAGTCGTAAGTTGTAAGAAAACATCCTTCACTCTCTCTTTCTGCCCAAATAGAGCAGCCTACCCACCACCCACACTTGCACGCCATCCATCCCGACCACCCCTCTTTCTCTCTCAATGAAGGCATCCTTGTTGATAATGAGACTAATTATTTTAAGGGATACAAGTAATTATATTTTGGTAAATATTTTCAAATCAGTGATTTTTCTGTGAAACAAACGAAGCCTTACATAAGTCTATCGTCCAAAACATGAGTCATAATTGTTTTAATACCAAAATGAAACTTGTTACGTTACTTGCTAAAAGAATTAACAAAATCTCTTGGAAAATCTAGCATTTTTATTGCTGAAAATAATAAGTGATTTGGGCCCCACTGTTTCATAAGCCAGCCAAGTCAGCTTCTCGTTTAGTCGATTCCAACATTCAATGTCTCTCTTTCTCTCTTCTGCGCAGCAACGATGAGTTTGGCTGATCTCTTTCAGAAATCACAACTCCCAGAAAAACACAATTTGCTTCTCCGATGATGGTTTCGATTTTGAGTTTGTTTTGAATTTCAACGAGCAAACTTTATCTATTGTCACAACAAGAAAGGACAAATACCTACTAATGGGTCAAGCTCGTCTCTCGCGTGAATTCCGCTGGCTCACCTGCTTCCTCCATGGAAGAACCCACCGAAGAAGAAAACCTACTGAGCTCTTGGTGTATCAAGAACGGCCTGTTTTCACTCCCCACTCCTAGAAAGTCTCTGGTCAAGCTGTTCTCAACTCCATCTGGGCTTGCATGGAGCTTCTGGCTCTCTGTTTGGCCTATGCTGTTCTCAACTTTACTTGATGGGTACTGCCTGAACAACATACGAGAACTCTTCCTGGTTTGTGGAGTGTAGGGGTTGAAGTCGGAAGCTGTAGATAGTGATGATGAGAATAATGATGAGGATGCAGATGATGAGCTCATTGACCCAAACACAGTATTGTTATTGACCAAAAATGACGCTGAATTATTGTTTCTGGTTGATCCCAGTTGGGCTGCTTTTTGCAGAAGAGCAGTTGCTGACATGTGACCTGTGCTTGCTCGGTGACTAGGGTGATTATTAGAGTACAGAGTCCCAATCGCCTGATTTGACATGTTGGTCTTGATGCTCTCTTCTTGTTTTATCAGAGATGCTTCTAATGATGCTGGTATTGAGTAGTTCTTGAGCATGCCAATGGGCAATTGTGATGCTTGAACCAAGTCAGGCAATAAGCTCCCGGAACCTGGTGCGGTTAAGTATGAATCGCGGCTGCTTGCCATTAGGCCAAGAGGGTTTAAATTGGGGTCTACATGGTTCATCCAAATTTGAACCTGGCTTGATGACCTTTGGCCATCAAATTGATCCGGCATTGGAATTGGAGAGTTTTTGGCACTGGCAGTGTTGTTGGTCATGGTCCCATTGATCAACTCATTGCCGAAGTTCAGATTAGTATTTGCAAGTGAAGTAAAACGTGCGCCTTCTTCTGTTAAAGCATCGCAAAAGGCTCTGTGGGTGATGAAGCTATCTTTCCTGTTTGAATTGACAAGACAAAAAAATTGGAAGAATCCACATCAAACTGTATACTTCCAAAAAAGAGAAAGAACAACAAAGTTTGTACATCACCCCACTCGAAACTGGGTGCCATTTTTTGCTGTAAATCTAATTTCAAGAAACCATTCTCTTGCCATGGATAGATCATAAATGCATACAAAGCTATCCACTAATGAAGTGATCGCACGTTTAATTATGCAAATAGGCCTCAGATCAATCTTGAATGCGTTCAAACTGTCATCTATTTTTCAGAGTCATGGCCAGGTTCCCGGGTACGATTGAAAGAATGTCAATTATTTCAAATAGAGAACCCGAAAGGTGTATAGAGGAAAAAATTGAAAAGAAAAGAAAGGACCTCGAAAAGAGGGTTCCGCAGTCGCATTTATACTCTCTAGTCCCACAAATCTTGCTATGAGCCTTCCAATCCGACTGAACCGCATACTTCTTTGAGCACTTCTCACACTTCCACTTCTTCTCCCCGTGCTTCCTGCTGTAGTGCTTCTTGATCCCGGTCAGATCGCCGAGCGCTCTCGACGGATCGTGGTGCACGCATGTCTCCTCCGGGCATATGTACACTTTCCTTCTGATTAGCTCCTTGTTTGTCCTCTGCTTGAGCTTCCAGGGAAGATTGTGACCTCTCCTGTGAAGCTGCAAATTCTGGTCTCTCTGGAAGCCCTTATTGCATATCTCGCAGATGAAGCGGTTGGTCGCCATGAGGGATTTCGGCGATAGAGCAATGACTTCAGCATCTGGGTCTGGTTGCATCCAATAGATTCCACAGTAAACAACAGTTTCAAAAGGTCAAATAAAGTAATTCTTTCTTGTACTATACATGCTTGCCTGGTGTTCCTGGTAAGCTTCTCTTCTTCTTGCAGTGGTTTGAGCTAGGGTTAGGGTTTGTGAGTGAGTTGGGTTCTTGATGAACAAACCCCCTGATTGTCGTGGGAAGAGAGAGACCATCTCCAGACATCATTTGCTGAGAAGTTAGGTTGCGAAAAGTGAAAGAGGAGGTTTCCTAACTTTGGTTGAAAAAGGAAGATGGACTAAGCAAAAAAGCTCAAACAGTGATTGCCAATATCTAAGCAAAAGCAACTACAAAAGCTTGAGCGGATGCAAATTTTTAAACTTGATAGATTCAAGAACAAAGTCTTGAATCCGCATTATCTATCTCACTCTCTCTCTATATGTGTAACTGGGGACTCGATCAAAGAAAACAAAGGGAGAATATTCTCTCTCTCTCTCTCTCTCTCTCTCTCTCTCTCTCTCTCTCTCTCTTCCTTCCTTATCTTACACGACTCCTCTTAGCCGGTCAGCCACAGACTCAGCTGGACCACCCCTCCACATCTCTCTCTATACGTTTCTTCCGTATACTTCTCTTCTCTGTAACATTTTCATTTCATCGGGTTCTGTATTTTTCATTTCTTTATAAACCATAAAGCTCTTACTGTCTTGAATGGAATTAACCCTGCGGGTAGTCTGTTGCTTTGTATGCAAGAAAGAGCAAGATAGGATAATAGCCTCATCCCCTTTCGTAACCGTGAGACCCAGATAGAAAAGAAAGCTGACTTTCGACTTTCGACTTTCATAGCTACTATTCATCAGGTAAAAACATGATTCCCTTATTATACTCCGTCTCTCCCCTCTCCCTCCTCCCTCTATGTAGTCCCGTGAGGCTTGACTGGACAGAAAGAGGGGCCCCCACCAGGCTCGGGTCGGTCGGGTGGGACTGAGAGAGATTAAAAAGAGAAAAAGTTGGAAAACATAAAAGAGACAAGAGATGACTGATACCTCTCCTTGACACGTCGACGACCTCCTCCGCCACAGCCACGTTCCTCCAGAAAAACAAAACAAAAGAAAAATTCCCTCTTGCTTCGAGATTTGTACTCCTTCCTGCATTTCTCCAGTATGGTTAACACGTGTGCGAGGTATCAGTCCTCTTTGGATTTCGAAAAATTTGTGTGACTTTTCATTCTCGAGCGAGTCTTGAGAAAACCTTTACAATAATTGACGAGAAAATTTCGGATATCATCATTAACTTGACTTTTCATCTCAAAATATCATCTTTACATTTCAAAACTTACATTATGAAAATGGTTTTTGTAAAATTTGAGGAGTTGTTTCTCAAGGCATAGGTGGGTGCGTTCGGTTTGGCAAGTTAAAGCAAGGTATCACTTTTTTACATTAAGTTTTGTCATCATAGAAGTTAATTTTATGTACAGAATCTACGGACAAGATTACATGTTCTTGTATTTACGCATTTTCAAAAGATTTAAACGTTAAATGTCATCACGTGAATGCCTGATTTTGAACAATATAAAAAGATTGAAGACAATAGCGGGAGTTAAAAGCCCTAAGTACTCGCACATACTAATAGTACCGTCTAACTTCTGTAGGAGTTCTCAGGAAAGATGAATGCACGAGTCCTTACAAGATTCGTTTTTTTTTCATGGTCGAGTGTGCAGCTTTCTAGGGTTGTCTACGTTGAGTGTTTCTTTTCTTTCAATCTGTCATTGATTAACCCTGAAACGAATAATGCTTCACATGATTAGATTATAAGTAAAATTAAATAATAAGTGTAAAAGAAAAACTAATCGGTGTCCCACAGAAGTACGCTGCTCGAAGCAAATGGTGGTTCCCGTTATCTATGTGGTGAAGCAGGAGCGAATGTTTGGAATCAAGCGGGTTGGATTTTCCCTCTCGGTGCACATGCATGTCTTTGATTCCCATGGACATGACCAGAGACCACGTACCAACCAAAAACCCAATTTTTTTTTTATATCAACCCAAAAGTTCCAACTTCGATTTGTCGTGGGAAAAATATTATGGAAATCATCCGATGGATACTGCTCGTATCATGTCATATGTTGCATGGAATTATCTCTATGGGTGTTTGCATGAAAGAATATTGCGTGCTCTCATTCGTTTTGGATCTCCATGCTTGACTTTATTATCCCCGTTGGAGTTAACATGAAGGTCTAACCAAAGTGAGGCGTTTCAGTGGTGGAATGTCGACATTGGACTGAAGTAGCGGAACGGACAAGGCCCCCATATCAACCATAGTGATTTTGTTGCCTAAGATCACAAAAGTTGATTCAACGCGAAGTTAGAAGATGATAGAGAATATGCGACAGCCAAGAGAAATTAGGTAGCCCCTTTAGGAAGTGATTCAACACATTGTTTTGCCTCTAAAATTAACCATTATGATGGGGATCGTCTACACTTACAGGTTGTATAAATTGATTGAAATACCATCAATTGTGTAATATACTCAAAACTCCAAGTATGACTAACACCTTCTCAGAGAGAGTGACCTCGGATGGTGAAGGCAATGGCACGATGACTAGACAAAGAAGGCTTAGCCCGAGGAAAAGAAGGAAGAAAAGGAAAAGAAGAAAATAAATGACAAAAAATAAGAAAGTAGAAAAGAAGTTCATTTTAAATTGGTTGACATGTCATCCATAAGTATTGCTTCCCTAACTTAAAAAAACCCTAATCTTCATATATAAATAGAGGAAAATGACATAAATGATCCATGAACTTTAACTCAATGTGCAATGTGATCCTTGAACTTTTGTTGCATGTTCAAACTAGTCAATGAACCATATGAAAATTTTCAATATGGTCCATGAACTTTTAATTCATTTAATATGGTCTCTTAGCTTTTGATACATGTTCAGTATGGTCCATGAAATTTTAATTTATTCAATATGGTCTCTCAGGTTTTGATACATGTTCAAACTAGTCCATGGACTATATGAAAATGTTTAATATTGTAATTCCATTAATTTAAGTTCAGGGACAACATTGAATATTTTCATATAGTCTAGGGACTAATTTGAATATTTACAAAAAATTCATATACTACATTGAACAAATTAAAAGTTCAGGGACCACATTGTACATTAAGCTAAAGTTCAAGGATCACATGAACAAATTAAAAGTTTAAGGATCGCATTGCACATTGGGCCAAATTTTAGAGATCATTTGTGTCATTATCTCTATAATTAAGGGATTTGGATTCTCTCCATGTATAAGGCAAATTTTATCTCCAATTTATACTCCATGATGGGACAACAGACAGCTCATTTCGTTCCTATCCAGATGTGCTCCATCTTTTCTTTCATCTTTTTAGCTCCCCTTTTTCTTGCCCCCATCCGCGTCCTAGTTTGCCGAGTCGCTAATTGCCACCGCCAGCCATCCTGACCATTCGTCTAACCACTTGTAAGGTGCTACCCATATATGTAGAGAGAGAGAGAGAGAGAGAGAGAGAGAGAGAGAGAGAGAGAGAGAGAGAGAGAGAGAGAGAGAGAGAGAGAGAGAGAGAGAGAGAGAGAGAGAGAGTGCTGCGGTAGGTGGTGGCTGGAGGGTGTTGGTCGTTGTCGGCGGCGGCGGCATGGTAGCCAAGAGTGAGAGATTTGCGATTTGGGATTGTCGAGGGAGACGAAGACTTTTTGTTGTTAGATGAATTTGGCAAATTGATTTCGAGTGAGCTGATGTGTACACATTACAGGAGGGTAAATTGCATATGTCCATCCACCACAACAATTACTTGAGCTGTATGTTAGACTTAATCGAAAGCTTTACTACCTTAACATTGGAAATGACCGACGCATCCCTTGAATTGGTTAGAACACGTGTTCTTGTGGAACAATGTGATCATTCATGATGCACCAAATCTCTAAGGAAGATTCACTTTATACGAAAATGTATTGAAGCGACTACTTATCAATGTTTCTTTTATTAGAATTGAATAATGTTACGCCATTTCCATTCATCGTCGGCTCACACAATCACGAGCACCCTCAAATCTTAACTTGGTCTCTTCTATTTTTCATATTGTTGTGCCAAAGAAAATAAAGAGAAAGATCATCAGATCTGAAACATGGGACATGCGTACGGCAACAGAATTCGTGTAGGTCCCCCCTTTCATTCATTGACAAGGTGTGCCTATTCAGCTCGTGACATTACATTCCATTGTCTGAATTCCCTTCATGTTAGGCTAACGTCAGAATTATAATAATATTATCATCTTGATTCCTTCCACTGTCTGTTAATGAAAGCTATGAATGAGTTGTCGACCATTAACATGCGGGCCCTTCCCATTAGGACGAGATAAAAATGGTACGATTAAGTTCCTTAAAAACGGCAAGATGAGCGCTCTTTCATATGGATTTCTATAACATCGTTGCATGGGGCCGGTGGCTAACATTACGATGGGCATCCTCGCCAGTTGAAGTTGACTAACACACCCCTAGACTTGAAGGATGAATCACCACAAAAACCTAAAAACTTGATCTCTCTTCTCCCTCTCTCCCCCCTTGCCTCCGCCTATGCCGTGCTCACCTCACCTCGCACCGTCGATTTGAGTCGTGAGCTCGTCCACTGGTCTACGTCTATTCATGTCTCTGTTTATAAATGAAAATAAAGAGCTCGAGTGATGGTCGTGACAGCCATGAGACTAGTAAGCTGACTTTCGAATCTATGATTGCTTGAGGCCTAGCACCTTCAATATGAGGTCTCGGCCTCATAAATCACAGCTTTGAAAAAAAAACACACAGAGAGAGACGGGTTATGCAGGCAGTTAAATATAAGAATGCGAAAGAGAGAAATGTGGAAAATTGTATATATTTCGATATATAGAAAAGGGAACATGAAGAGCCTATTTATAGTCTTAAATAGATGAAATCAAAGGAAATCAAATATGATATACATAATAAAAAAAGATATAGAAATTAGAGGAAATATCCTAAATATTCGTAGATTTCTAAATATCTCCTACAACCCCCCTCAAATTCATAGTGACTCAGTCAAGTTGAGTTTGAATCAATGTCGAATAGTGCCATGAAAACTTTTTCTTCAAGATGGCATCGGGCTTGGTGGATCCGCGACGGGGCCGTGTGTGAGGTAGCATCTGGCTCGGCGGCGAGTATAGTGGTGTTGCATGATGGAGTCAAAGGTTGGCAGCAATAACAAGCAGGAACGTGGTGGTGGATTGTGGAATCGGGGAAGAAGGGCTACAGGAGAATATTAAAGAGGAAAAATGAAGAAGCGAAATTTGAATCCGAGCATTTGTGTCATCCTTGTTGAAGATGTCAATTTACCTTCAGAGGATCTCAATCATCAACATTATTGGTTTGATAATGGTGGTTTTCTCAGTTTTTGGAATTTTACAAAATTGGATTTGGCAGTGGCGTGTGACCCTTTGTGCATCATAACTAAGACGAAGATGGAGCTCTAGATCTGTTGGTTTTAGCAGTGGCATGGGGATGGGGATCCTATACTCTCTGCACGATTCTTCCATAGTTAGCTCGATCCATTCACCTTCTTCATATGCGTCGCGGTTAGAATTTGGACTAATGCAAGCACTGCACGAAGTAGAGAGTTTTCATCCGTCGTCGCTTGGAGAATAAAAGTTGAGCGGTTAGGTTTAATATCCCGTGCCATCGAGTAAATCGGTATCAGCACATATAATTAAATAAGACGTGGTTTACTATACGCCTGTGCAACCCTAGATTCTCTTTCCGAAAGAGAAAAAAACAGGTTTTCCCGTCCTAGGATCATTTTCAGGAGTCGATGTCAATCGACATGAACTATGTATGACTGACGATGTTGAGCAACCTTGAGTTTCTGCTGTGATGCAGTCAATCGCAAGTCTCCAGGAACTAAGTCCACCCCTCAGTCACGTCACCAATCGTTACAATCCCATACTCATTGGGGATTAGAAAAATGAGCAAAAGAAAGGACAGCATCGCATAGGACTTGAAACGTGATCATCCTCCACAACATGACACACGTAAATCGATTTGAACAAGGGGTGGACCAAAGCTGCATGCGATGCATGTAACCTTGGATATCATCGCTTTGTAGTTATCGAAGATTCCTTTGCAAGTTAACCTTCTTTTTCCAAGTCAAGTCTCTCTTAGTGAAAAGAGAAAGGAGGATGGTTTTTTTCTTCTTTTTTTTCCAAGAGAAAGACCACCCAAATTATGTAATTTTGCACCCATGAAATCATATAAGATGTGCGACACCGATCTCTGCACCGAATAGGTGCGGCCTCCTTAAGTGATTCTTGAGTAAGATTTGGTTCTAATTCCGAAGGTCATCATCTTGAGTGGTTACATTTTAATATTTTGTTTTGAAGTCTTGACCTTTATATGGATCGGGTAGGATTATTGCAAATGGTATCAGAACAAACTCCTCTTTCTCGAGCCGTCATTAGCGTTGAGATCTTTGCGCGCGCGCACTCACAGAGGATGCCGACTGCAAGCTCATAGAGAACAAGTTTCTCACAACTCAGTGGTAGCAGCAGCAACAACAACAAAGTGGATAATATAGGCCCAAATAAGCAACCAAAGAAAGGGGCTAGATTAGTTTTTGAAGAAAACATAAACTAATTTTGTAGAATCGATCCCAACAAAAGTTATGCTTCTATGCGCAAAGTAAACTAGCAATATTGTTCGAAACAAACGCGGAAAAATAAATAAAGAACACAAGGATTTACGTGGTTCGATCACAAGGTGATCTACATCCACGGGCGAGGCAAAACAAGATTCCACTATAATCAAAGAGAGTACAGTTTTCAGAAGTCGAAAAAACGACTTAACAAAACCTCACGGCTCACAAATCCCTCTCAAAACAAAAATCTCTCTTAATCAATGAAAAACCTAGCCGCAGTATAAATAGGGCTTCCCAAAAAAATTTCCTCGGGGGCATAGCCCCCGAACCCCCCTAGACATTTGTCTGCTTACTCTAGCTTAGGCAAACCACTATAAAAAAGATTTGTTTGCTTGCTACTCCAAGTTGAGCCTATCAACCCAATCCTCCATGTCGCGAACTAAATCTCAATTTTTTTTCTCCACTTTTAGGTCGCAAAAAAATATATGTCGAGTCAGGTGATGAACCAAACTGAATACATAAAATTCAAGACATATTTTACAAATCTCCACCTTGGCTTGAATTTCCCAAAATAAAACAATCAAGAAGCCGAACACATTCTCTCAGCATCCCTAAGCCTACGTGAGCTAACTCGATGTAGGAAACAAGGGCTGCAACGAAAGAACATATCCACTTAAAAAACAAATGTAGAACTTTCATTTACCTCGCCAGCAAAGCCCTAGAAGAGGCAAACTCAACCAAGCATGCCAATCAAGTTCAAGCAATGCTTAAACTTGTTGGCGGGGACTAGCTTGGTCAACATATCAATAGGATTGTCAGCTGTACCAATTTTCTTTACCGTCATATTTCTCTCAGCAACTGTCTTTCGAATAAAGTGATACCTGACATCGATGTGCTTAGTCCTCTCATGATATGCTTGATTTCTAATCAAGTATATAGCATTCTATTGTCACAAAAGACAACTGAATTGTCTTCTTGCTGGAGCCCAAGTTCCTGAACAAGAAATATAAACAGCAGAAATTATAGAATTGATGAAAAGAGAAATTGCAAATGAGATTTATAAAGGTTCGGCTCTGGTGTGCCTATTCCTTTCTTTTTGCTCTAGCTGCCCAATTAGGCCAAATTCCACTAGTTATGCCTAGAATACAAACACCGCGTTGTTACAAGTGTTAGAACCTATTGCCCCGGACAATCCAACTTTGCGTCTATAACAATTCTGCTATAGTTTAATTAACTATTGGATCCTCCATTAATTGTTGTCAGCACAATAGATCCTCTCTCCAAACTATAAATCACACTTCTAAGAGTTTACAAAGAATCTCTCGCGCACTTTATCTACCACCAAGGCAAATTCTTTCACTGTAAGTACGACCACTTCTCTCATGCATATACAAATTGAGTTTGTCACTCCTACTAACTCTTAGGAACAACACGCAAATGGGTTTTGCACGCGTACAGAAAAGACGGACTCAAAAGTCTCTCAACAATGCTCGATTTCTCTTGTTTTCGTGCTTGTCAACTTTATATCTTCTTGCCCAAATTTCTCCTTTCTATAGAATTCCAAGTTCAAACGTTGCAATTGAGTCTTGTAGATGTTGTATTTATCTAATCTTCCGTAAAAATCTCAGCAAAATCCCTTAGAAAACACTTGCAGAACCTTGCTTCAATCTGAATATTAAATGAGATCTCTTCTTACTAATGGTAGGTTTTGATCACACCGTATCACCAAGCTCGGGCGAATTAGTCCACGATTTTTGGCATATGTAATCTTGAAAATCATAATTTATTTGATCACATGGAACACTTTACAAGCCGCATAAGCCAATTTCCTCTGTGTAATGTTGTGGCGGCTTCTATTAGAATAAAAAATTTATTCTAGCAAAAAAGGAAAAAATAACAGCCCCATGAACCAGTTAAATTCAGGTCAATTGGCTCGTGTTGGTGGGACTAATCTAGAGCTTTGTGGAATCCAATTTCTGAGTTTGAAATTCTCTTACATCCGAATCAATTGCGTCAATTCTGGAAAGTTAATGCTCAAACTTTTTGCAAAGCTAATTGCATCCCAAGGAGGAAGTATTCCCATGCATGACAATTCTCAAAGTTGGCCATATTACCCTCCATTTGACTTCGGACCCGTGAAATCAATGCCCTATCATCCATGGGAATATAGGCAATATATAGGCTGCGTTTGGTACAGCATTGGGAAGGGGCTTTCAGCCCCGAAAGCCCCTTCCCAAAAATGCTGAACCAAACGGTTAGCATTGAGCATTGAAAATGCTCAAAATTAGCATTTTCAATGCTGAAAGCCCAATGCTGATCAGGATTAGCTTTGGACTTTCAGCCTTGAACCAAATGCCAAAATCATTTTTATACTTCCCAAACTACCCTCACTCAAATTTCAATATTCCGGCTTTGCCCTCTCAGTTCTTGTTCATCTTCTTCACCAAAGGGACTCCGGCGAGGGCAAAGGGCCGGCGACGGCGAAGTCCGTGAGTCGCCCGACCCAGGCGGCGGCCGCCGGAGTCGAGCGATCGCCCGGGCGCGGCCGCTCGGGGTCGGGCGACCGCCCAGTGCGGCCGCACAGGTCCCGCGACCTCGAGGCGGCCGTCGGCTGGGGTCGCGACCCGGGCGGCCGTCGGCTGGGGTCGCGCGACCCGGGCGGCCGTCGGCTGGGGTCGCGCGACCCGGGCGGCCGTCGGCTGGGGTCGCGCGACCCGGGCGGCCGTCGGCTGGGTCGCGCGACCCGGGCGGCCGTCGGCTTTGAGGTCGCGCGACCTCGGGCCTCGTCGCCGAGGTCGGCGTCCCTCGCCGGGGTCGCTCGGCGACGGGCGACGGCCGCCGGCGCGGATCCGCTCGCCGGCGGCCGTAGCCCTTCGCCGGAGCCGTAGCCCTTCGCCGGAGCCGGCGAAGGGTATTTTTGCCTTTTTTTTAAAAAAACCCCCTCAAAGCCCATTTGTAAAAAAAATTAACCAAACACCACTTGGGTCAAAATAGCTTTGCAAATGAGTTTTTACCAAACGCCATTTGCATTTTTCCTAAAGGGTTTCCACCCAAAGGCATTTGCATTCCCAAAGTAGCATTCCAAATGCTGTACCAAACGCACCCATAGCCTCATCTCATAAGAACTTTCCGCTCAAAACATCGGCAAAATACCTCGTAATTTCGTTGCCACTTGCCACATACATATCTTTCTCTACACCTAATGCCTGATCTTATACATCTGGAATCATCCGGTTTGATCCCGGTCTAAAAGCATCTTGACTCGGTCAATTGGCCCAAATTCTACAATATCTTCTGTTTTCGGGAGTAAAATGGCAAAAGTGGAAAAGAAACAAATCGAGGAATATAACGGAAAAAACGAATAACTTCATGCGAACAAAGGCTAAAAACCTCAGTTATTGGTCCACGTTTGAGCGATGCCACGATGTCCAAACATGTCCTGAACACATGGGGTCGAATCTCCTCCACCTATGTTGTCAGTTGTCACTCTCTTTTCTTACTAAACAAATCGAGATCTTCTTTTCTCCAATGCTTAATCATGTGCGACGTGCATGAAACTCACGTAGAGGGGATGCAGACGAACGGGGTTGCTGTCTCCATTGACATTTCCTAAACGTGCACGTAATATGACTTGTTTTGTCCCTTCTGTTGATCTTTTCCTGGTAATTATCTCGAACGTTGTCCCCATCTGCATGAGAACGAAGAAGACCCCACGGAATATGACGCGTTGACACTGAGCTTTCGCGGTAGCTTCGCTAGCTCATTCACAGCTATTTGCAATCGGTATCATCGGCCACTAATCTCTCCATTGTCATCAAATGATAAGAATGTCCAAGGGGGTACCACGTTAGTGACCCGCCATCTTCGATGGATCGTCAGGTGGACACTGCGCCGGCAAGAGGCTTTCCAGCTGTTTTCCCTCCTGGCTTCAGGTTTCATCCCACGGACGAAGAGCTCATTGTTTATTACTTGGAGAATAAGTTGACCTCGCGCCCGCTCCCGGCGTCCGTGATTGCCGAGATCGATCTCTATAAGTACAATCCATGGGAGCTACCAAGTCCGTGCGCTGAGTGTGCTACGTGTTTCTGTGTTGTGCATCACTAGGAACCTTCATTTTCTTTAATTGTTTATAGCCTCTACTGCAATTATTGTTTTTGGAACCGATGTTTTCGCGTTTGCTTCACAGAGAAGGCATTCTTTGGGGAAGGTGAGTGGTACTTTTTCAGCCCGAGGAACAGAAAGTACCCGAATGGAGGGAGGCCGAACAGGGCTGCGGGCTCGGGTTACTGGAAAGCTACTGGGATCGACAGGTCAATACTCACATCCGGCGGGACGAAGAGCATCGGAGTGAAGAAGACTTTGGTGTTCCACACCGGACGGCCTCCGAAGGGGACGAAGACGGAATGGAGCATGGACGAGTACAGGCTGATCGATACCACCGTCCGCCCACCCAGATCGAAAGGGTCAATGAGAGTAAGTGGGATAATTGTGATTCGAAATAGGAGTTTCATCATTTGTTTGTACTGTACTTCACAATGCAATCCACTCCAAACCGAACAATCGATGAACTATCTTTCCTCGATTTAAAGACAAGTCTCGATTTGGTGTCATCACTGCACTCTAAGCGGGAACAGAACATTTAGCATAAATTGCAATTCTCTTGAAATTGAGAAACGAGACATTATTTATCAGTTGAATACATCATATTCAAAGAAAATAAAGGGCAGGTGTAGATTTACTGGAGGTATCATATTATATCTAACGCATATAAATGTGAGAGATGAATGTATAAAGGACAGCATCTAGAATCTAGATGTGCTAAAGGTATCATACCGAATATGCTCAAGTATAATGAAGTCATTTCCAACTATTGATATTGGCGCACTAGTTGTCCCTCTATGTTTCTTATCGAAATTCTCGTATTTCTGTAATCTAAGTTGATATCAGTACCTCAACGACTGTGTAAAGAGTCGATCAAATCTGAAAGAATTGCCTCTTACTAGTGCAGTTGGATGATTGGGTACTCTGCCGAGTGCGACAGAAAGAGAAAATTCCGAGAAACACCAGCGACCATCATGGAAATTTCAGCAGTTGCATGAAGGCACCATCTTACCCCCAAAAGAATGATGAAGCGCTGCCCGTGCATACCATTTCTTGCAGAGATATCGCCATGGAAAATCTTTTCCAAGATTGTCAAGTAATGGCTTCCCTACTCGCGGGTCAAATCGTCTGTCCCATCAATTCAGTCTCTGGTATAAGCTTTCGAGCGCCCAACGATAACGATGGCTTAAAGTCGGTGTATGAAGAAAGTCCCGACAAACTAAACTCTTCTAGCATAAGTTCTTCCATGGACAACAATGTCAACAAATTTACAAGGGAACTTATAGAGGAAAAAGGGTTTGAGGATCAGCGGGAAAAAATGCCGGGTGTGGATGGTAGTGATGCCTACGACTACACTCAAAGCCAGTGCGACGAAAACGTATTTAACTTGGATAGATGTGATTCTGTACTCAACTTTCAGGAGCTTAATAACTTGGCCCTAGCCCTGAGAGAGTTACAGTAATGATACAGAAATAATGAGAATTAGCAGTGCTTTTAGTGGTCCTGAAGCATCTGCAGATTCGGCGTGGTGTGTATAGATCAGAGTGCTAGTAACAGAATAAAACGGAATCAGTCCTGGGAAACACTGCGAGTTTCAAGTGTTTCTGCAATTGGGCGAGGGCTATAAATACTTGTTCATTTGTCTATCAACTGAATCACAACTTTTGACATCTCAATATTCCATAGGTTCATTCGCGCTAACAAGTAATAAATGCAATGACAAAAACTCTCCTAGAGCAGTGTACATCTTAAATTGTAATTAACATGGATGTTAATTTGTCGTCATGCTTCTCTTGCGGAGAAAAAATGCCATCACCATAGGTGCTCCATATGCTGTGAACTCATTCAGCATATACAAGACTGCATCTCCAACTTCCTTGGAAACAACAGCCACCATAGCCAGTAATAAATATCAGAATCACTCTTTCAAATAGCAGCTTTGACCGAAGAATTTGCTACACAAAATCCATGGTCACACGAAGTCGGAGGTCTTCAAGGGTCAGGTCCTGCATATGGTAAAATCTGATGTTAAACATGCAAAAATATGGCAGCGTACGGTCGTCTTTAACAAATATTCAAAAACTTCATGAGTAAGCTTGTCCTCATGAGCATATATTACCATACATTGTGAGATCAAACAACGTGTTGAACTTGTCCTCATGTTAGATCAGCGCAGTACACTGCAAGAGACAAACCGAGATGTCAATAGAAGATCCCAAACGTTGTCCCTCTGTGTGTGTGCGCGGGCATGCGCACGCGCACGCGAGAGAGAGAGAGAGAGAGAGAGAGAGAGAGAGAGAGAGAGAGAGAGAGAGAGAGAGAGAGAGAGAGAGAGAGAGAGAGAGAGAGAACATGAAGCTTACTTATATAAATAAGAAACAATTCCCAGGATAACGCAAAGTAAAACAATGTCAATGCAGAAGTTCCGGCTGGATCTTATCTTCATTAAAAAAAAGAAAGATAGCAAGTAATGAGAACGAGGCCTCTCTGTCAACATGATAGAAACTTCAATAACTATAATTGGTTTTCTCTTATGTAAGAGATTATCAGCACCGATCACCTTGAACAGAGTCTCCTTAAGTCTGACATTCGTATTTTTAAGATCGGATGTTGCTCTGTCCACCTAACAAGAAAGCAAACTCACCATTTGATTGTTACTCCGAGTAAGTTCCAAAACAGGAGGTTTTAAATGAAGCAACGAAGTTCTCACCTTAGTGTCGATTTCATCCACTAAAGGAACTTGTCTATCCAACTCCTGAACATAAAAACAGAATTAGTCTCTTCAACGCTTCGTTTTCCCAAAAATCAGTTCCACTGTTTATTTGTTCAACTAAACAACCTCATTCATATCATGGGCCAGATTCTTCAGTGTATTTAATCCTTCTGATATTACATCAAGACCTTCATCCTGTGGAAAGACCGAAACATTATAAAAAAGAACTAGGGCAGGCCACGAACTTCAAGATATTTGTAACTGATTCGAGAAGAAACTAAGGAAGCAGTCTTACATGCCTGTTTCATCTTCCGCATTTCATATTCTTGCCTAAATTGGCTTGCTTCTTCATTTTGTTGGAAGAAACCATCGTGTAAATGTCCATCTGAACAGGCATGGAATGAAAGCAACTATGAGAAACCATTGTGGTAGGTAGCAATTGGGATAGAATAAATTGCGTCAGTGGTCTAACAACCTGAAGAGTCAAACTTGATGTTCTCATGAGATGTCGAAGCGGACCATCCTCCAGATTGTTTGCATGGTGCAATTGTCCCATCAGGTATGGCTTGAACCCTTTCGTGTAGTGCAAGAACCAGATCATTCCGAGTCATTAGGTCATCTTTAGACAGCCCTTTAACCTAATAAGAGAGTATTACGAGTACAACTTACGATTACCACCAAGCTTTACGCATGTTGATAATGGTAAACAAGGCAAGAATTGAACTCTGAAGAAATTGAAACCCATATGCATTGTCTCTCGACCACTATCATCATGCCACAATGCCAGGTACAAGCACCACAAAGAAAACTATTAGAACAGTTTTCCCTTTCATTTCTATTTCCTCGCCTTTATAGGGGATTCTCCTGGTATAAACTGAGAAGTGACAGAACGTGTTATACGTGCCCATGTCCTGTCGTTGTGCATTCTGATTTAGACACGTCAGAGACATCGTCAATAATTTCGATGTGTTTTCTGCAAGTCAGGACTTAAGTTGAGGAACATCTGAGAAAGCATGGTCAACGCTTAATTCACACAGAAAATAACAATGTTATTGTCCCCTCTTTCACTCTGACATTCAATAGACAGAGCTTTTTTACATGGAATTTTGTCGAATTAAGGATCACCAAAGAGAAACCAAGCACATCCCCAGTTAAATTGGACAACGGTGGACCAAGAGGGAAGTGAACCAACAAAGACAAATGGTCACTCTAAGATCGAAATAAGCAGAGCATCTGGTAGGAACTTTGACCCCTTTACTTCTACGTTGCTTCTTTATTCTTTATTGTTCATTAGCGGATGACCGAGTCAAAATTGAGCATGTGGACTTCATCCAGGCATATAAGTGCAGACATATGCCAGGTCGGCATATGAAACACAATTTGCTGAACTGTCACCACATTGCAGATTCGATGCATAAAACTAAAAATTCACAATAATGCTGGAGGTACTAATAAATCCTTCTCATGAATGATGTCACAATTCATGCCATAAACTTCTGATTAGTTCCACAAACAGTAGGATCTGAGAAAGAAGTGGTTGGTTTTTGTCAAAATATCCAACAAGTAGGTGATATGCCTAATTCCAGAAGAACACCTTCTCAGTCTCATCCTTAAGCACGAAAGCATTCGTACAAGCTGCAAGGAGCTACCTTCTTTTGAGCCAACTTGTGCAGCTTAGCGATTTCCTCCATCAACCGGGCCTTCGTCCTCCGGATCTCTGCGTTCAGTGCCGCCGAGGAAGCCCTGTTTGTCTCCACCGCCGCCCTCTTGGATTTCTGTCCGCATTCATAGATGTAAACCGAAAAATTAAACACCCTTTACTAGACCCACCTGACCTTTACCAGACAAAACCTCAACAAAAAGCACACGTTGCCAGCTCGAGTACTATCCTCCTCAAAAAGAATTTCGATGAACATTTACCCTGCTGAAAATTTGGTTTTCTTAAACAGTGTAGGATATAAAACTATGCTGACCCATTTTACGTCTTTCCCGAAATCATGTGTTCCGTGTCTAGCAGTTCAAACATGTCAATATCCAGATATCGCCTTTCGCGTGTGAGGGCCAGCTTGGACACGACGAAACGTCGCATGAATAGCCCATTATGAATTATACATGCGCTGAGAAGGAATTCACAGTACCTCGAGGGCGGCATCGAGGCAAGATACGACCGTGGAGTAGAGACGGGCAAAGGCGTCGTCGCCATGGGCATTGCGCTCGCGCTGCTTCTCGATGTCGTACTTGTCATACTTCTTGCAAATGGCGTCGACCCTGAACCGGATGTCGATGACGCTCATCTTCTTCTTCTTCTTCTCCTCCTAAGCTTTCTCGACGCGAATGGAGGACAGAAGATGCAAGCTCATGGGCTCGACCTGTGGAGAGCTCGCGGCGGACAATGGTGTTTCAAAACGAGGGGTCCACCGCGAAGAGCGGGCAGTGGACGGAAGGAGAGACCTAGCGGTCGCTTTTCTTGGCGGGTTCAGCTCCTAACCGTTGGTTTCACTTGGCGGTTGTTTTTACTTCCATCAGCCCAAATTTGTCATTTCTCAAGGTATTTTATTATACAAAAAAAGGAGGAATTAATAATACCGATTTCTTATGAAAATAAAGGGAATTGGTATTACTTTGATTGGAGAATTTTAAAAAAAGTGAATTTCTAAACGATTTGATAAGAACAAATTTAAAATTGTCGGGCTTATTTAGTCGCCAAACTGACGGTGCGACAACCACATATTGGACGAGTAATGGTCCTTTTTAACGGGTAAAAAACTCCGGCATATTTTCTTAAATAAATAGAGAGTTATTAGACACCTTTTCTTAATTTTTTTTTTCATATTAACTTCAATTTTGCACTTATGCTTTTTGAAAACAATAAATATGTTTCCCAATTAATTAGATTAATTTGGTGAAGTTGACGATTAAAGGCACAACTATGTGTGGACGAGAGATGCAACTTCAAATCCAAATGTAAAATGTGAGGATGTTAGTCGGAGGCTTTAAATGTGAAGGGGATAATTGATATGGAGAGTAAAGTTTAGGATGGCATTTTCTTTTTGGGAAAGGCTAATGCTACTGCCGAGCAACAATTGCTTCGGGCCCCTAAGAAACACCCCTTAGGTCTCTCTCCTCTCTCTCTCTCATCGAGTCACCGTCTCCTCATCGACCCGCCGCCGCCACCCCCGCTGGCCCGCTCACTCGCCTCGATGGCGAAGTCACCATTCCTTGCTTGATCAACGTCGGATCATGGTGTTGCTTGTGTCTCTCTTTAGTCTTTTTCTTTTCTTTTTTTTCTTAAACCAGAGAAATGATTTCAATCTATTTTTCTCTTTTTTGGGTCGTAAGGGAAATCCTCAACTTTCAATATATTTCAGTGAACGATTAACTTGCCTCCAAATCACAGTTCACGAGTTTATTACCTCATATGTATTACTAGCTAGAGCTATACAAGTTATTATATCAAGTGTTTATTTATATTTTATTATCTTATTGATGATTATGATTAGATAAAAACTAAGCATATAATATGTGATTATGTAATACAAATATGCTCTTATGTTAATTATCACTTCCATCGCCACTCATTAGTGTAATTACCCATATATATTACCAAGATACTAGGATTTAAGATATCAATTTCATCTATTAATTAACACTTAATTATTGATCATCATTATTAAAATTTAAATATATTATTGATATTATCAAAGTGAAAATCAGGTAATAAATAATTAATAGTATGATTGAAATAATAATTAGGTAACAATTTGAGCATTATTTAGTATAATAGCGATTAAGATAACAATCAAATCATGAATAATTCACTATTTAATCATGAAAATACATATAATTCTACGTAATAGTAAGCAAGTAACATAATGCTAGTTGCAAACCTATCAAAATGGGTCTCAAACTCGTTTATTCACCCAAATTTGCCGAAATATGTGATATATGGGTCACCTTAAATTTGACAACCCTAGTCTTAATGGGTTCTAAAATGAAAATGCCAAAATAAATGGGATTAAATGGGTTATCCTATGAACCTATTTCCAACCCTCTCTTTGCACGCCTCGGCCTCCTAAACTTAACCACCATGGAGTTCGGTCTGGCTCCGGGCAACGAGAGCAGCTTGTTCGTCACCGCAGCCACTCCGATGATGCTCCAGCTTGGCTCTACAAACATGACAACGATCTCGTCCAGCGACAACAACTCTTCCCCAGCCAAATCCTTCTCATCAGCACCATCGTCATTCTTGTCCCCAAATTTGACAAACCCACGGTGCCTTTTCGCCATCAACACAGGTACGTTCACTAGTGCCGACTTACTTCACTGTTAACGAAAAAGAAGCCGGTTGAAATTTGTCTTGTGGTACGCATGGAATCGCAAGGATTATCCGCAAAGACAAAATAAGCGACGCCCTCGAGAGAGACAAAGAAGGAGAGACCGAGGCCTTGCTGCTGAAGACGGAGCTAGTGTCGTGCACGGGGAGGGCGGTGAGTATGCTAAAGCTATTTGGTGGGCCGGAGGTGGAGTTCCTGTGGCGGCTAAGGTGGAGATCGCGAAGCTGAGGAGAGGAAGCGACAGCGGTCGGGACTTGGCCATTGAAGTTGCTGCCGTGATGGTGATGGTGGTCACCGGCATTGGAGAAGTTGCTGGTGGAGAAGATGTTGTCCTCACTGAGGATGTCGTCAATGGTGATGCTGGTGGTCTGCTTTGCTCATTGTTACTTAGGGGAAAATAATAAAAAATGTGTGATTTTTCTCTATCTATTGACGGAAAAAGGATTGAGAATGGTTAAGAATGGAGGAGCTAGCATCGTTACTAGTGTTGTTGGTTTGATTTTTGGGATATTGAAGGATTAGTGTCGTTGGTTTGATTTCTGGGATATTGAAGGATTTGTCGAAGAGGGACTAGGGTTTTGGGTGGGTTATGCGGGTGGGTTTGGGTTGGATGTAGGTTGAATTGGGTATAGGCTATTAGGGGTGTCAGAAACCGAACCGAAAACCGAACCGAAACCGAACCGAACCAAACCGAAAATTCATGCATATTCGGTTCGGTTTCAGTTTCGGTTCGTATAATAAGTAAAAAATTTTGGTTAGTTGATGATTCGGTTCAATTCGGTTCGGTTCGGTTCGGATCGGATCGAATTTCTGTTTCATTTTGTTTTTTCTTCTCTTTGAGTACTTTCTCTCTCTGCTGACTCTGACTGTTCATTATTGCTCTGCTTTCACTCTCTTTTCTTTCTCTCTCTTTCCTTTTTCTGCTCTATTCTCTCTCCTCCTCTATCTTCGCAAAACTCCATTTCCATCTCTCCCAGATTCAATCGTCTGGCTCAAAGGCCAATGTCTCATCCTTCCCCTTTCCTTCGATCTCATTTTGGTGGATCGTCACTGAATGAGAAGGATACCGCGACGAAGCTCGAGCCCTCCTGATCTCGGGCCTCGAGCTCCACGCCGCGGCGGAGCTTGAGGTCGTCCAGCATGGCCGAGATATCGAAGGCCTCCAAAATCGTCTGGTGAAGAATCGTCTTTGTCCTTGTACTCGGGGAAGCTCGCGGCTTCAGCGAGGGACGACAGCAAGCTCGGCGTGGCCATGTCGCCGGTCTGGGTCAAGGAGTGGAGGGTGCGAAGGGAAGAAGCGCAAAAAAGGAAAAAAAGAGGAAAACCGAAAACCGAACTGATCCGAACCGATCCGAACCGCATTTTTGGTTCGGATCATATCCGGTTCATGTGCCTTTCGGTTTGGATCAAAGCACACCTCCAAACGGTTCGGTTCGGTTCGGTTTTCCTAAAAACCCGAACAGAACCGAACCGTTGACACCCTATAGGCTATCTAAATCAATTAACAAATAAATGGGTCAATGTGGATTAAATGGGTGGATTTGGGTTGAACCTATTTATGACTCTCTCAAACCGGACATGACCCACTCATTTGCCACCTCTAGCTAGTTATTATATTACGATTGCTTTAATTAAAAAAATGTATTATCAAGATAACATTATCATTATCACATCAATTATTTACTTATTATTTAATTTTTATTTACTAAATCATATATTACATGATTATGTCGAAACAATAATAATAATAAGCGGCGTCATCAGTGATTCATTACGTAATTAATATAATCAATGTAAGTTTTCGTTATAATTAAACAATCTAACAGAGAAAAGAGATGGGCCACGGGGGACTTTGGGAATAGCTTAGCCCGCAGGGTTCATGCTAATTGCAAGCAAATACCGCAAAAGGTAATTAATTTATCATAGACTTGTGACATAAAAGCCATTACCGCAACAAAACGTGATGTCAATCTAACTCTTCATAGTCTCTTTTAGCAGAAGAAAATGCACAAACGATCGACTATGATGATCAGAGACCAACTTGAAGAAACTGAAGCGAGGGTCAATCATGCTTTTGTCCTAAGCGGTGGCCCCCAATGAAGTTTCAAAGAAAACCCATTTCAGGAGGAGGAGGGAAACAGAACATGGAAACATCATCACAGAACTACCATTTGAAAATTGATACGACGATTCCAGCAAAGGAGACTGCAAGAAGGTGACAGCGAAAAGAGATGAGGAAAAGGGAAAGTAGCAATCTTCATGATGGTCAAGTACAAAAAGCCTGTGATGGATTTGGAAGATTTGTGGCAGTCATCGAATGCAAACGGAGCTAACGAAAAGGACCGTGATGCGGTGCATTACTGTACGCTGCCATTCCCAACCACTGTTAGCGTGACGCCAACAAGTGGGTTGCTGCTGAAGCTTATCCATCCAAAACGAAAACGACAAAGTCAAAGGTCCTTTTCCAGTTTTTGCGCTTTTTCAATGGTGTCGGAGCAGAATGGGCGAGATCAGATCAGGGAACAGAGCATGGTAACGATTCCCCAGGAAGGATGGATCGTCAAGCACCGAGCAATTTGCCCACATCCACATCAAAATTTGATTGAAACTTGATAAAGGAAAACCAGATCACTCTGTTGCTGGGATTGATTTACACTGAAAAAGACCCCTCTTTTTTCTTCAAACGCCAAAACAGATCAGCTCAAAGCCACTCCGAAACACCAAAATTCTACCGCAAGTTTTACAGTAAGTAAGAAGAGAACAGATAACAAGACAAAGCCGTGTTCGTGTCGTTCAGCTAACATCAGGGGCGCGATCGAATTCCGGAATTACGCTAATCAGTGCCAATTAAAGGGAGGAAGCGCGAGATCGTGACCTGGAGGGGTGGAGCTCAGGCGCCGGGGCCGGACTTGTAGCGGTAGAGCTTGCCGAAGACGTGGAGGGCGGTGACGAAGCCGATGAAGCAGAGGCTCATGACGAGCACCACCGTCGGCGAGATCTTGAGCCCCGGAGCGTCGTCGGTGTAGAACCTCAGCATGTTGCTCCCCCCGGCGCCGAGTCCTCCGGAGCCGGCCGCGGCGGCGGCTCCTCCTCCCCCGCCGCCGCCTCCCCCGCCGAGCCTCCGCCGGCGCATGCCGGCGGCAGCGGCGGCCGAGCCGCGGGGGACCGTGACGCCCGGGCGGGAGGTGACGGAGGACGAGGACTGGGACTGAGACGAGCCTCTAGCCATGGATTGTCGGAATCGATCGATCGATCGAGGGAGAGGGAGAGACGGAGGGGTTTGGATGGGCGAGGTTTGTTGAGCGTGGGGAGGTTGGTTGCGGTTTTGTCGACGATGATGACCGAGACAGAGCGAGCGAGGTAGGGCGGACGATGATGATGACGTCACCCCGGGGGGCTGGGGGGCAGTTCCGGCATTTCACTCGCGGGTCTTTCTTCTCTCCTAGAGGTGTCAAAATGGGTCATAAACCCTTATATGATCCATTTAAAAATAAATGGGTCATATATGGGTCACTTTAATTTTAAAGAGTCAAGCTTAAATGGATTTTAAATTTTAAAGTTTAAAGATAAATGGGTCTAAATGGGTTGAGTTTGGAACCCATGTCCAACCCACCTACTAGACCCATCCACATACTCTCTCCCTCTTTACAAAAATGTTTAAAAAAAATGAAATTTAATTATTTTTATTTTTTCTCTTTTTCTTTTATTTTTTCTTTTCTCTTCTTTTTTTTTTTATTCCGGCCGGTGGTCGGCCACGACGACCGGCCACCGGGGCGGGACGAGCTCGCCGGAGGCCGGCGAAGCTCGAGCTCGCAGGCCTCGGGTGAGGCTCCGGCGAGGCTCGAGCCTCGCCGATCTGGCGAGCCTCGAGCTCGCCGGATCTGGAGAGGTGGAGCCTCGTCCGAGGCCGACGAAGCTCGAGCTCGCCGGCCTCGGGCGAGCTCGACCTCTCCCGAGGCCGGCGAGCTCGAGCCGCCGGCCTCGGCAAGCTCGACCTCTCCGAGGCGGGCGAGCTCGAGCCACGCCGGCCTCCGGCGAGGTCGAGCTCGCCCGAGGCCGCGAGCTCGAGTCTCGCCAGACGGCGAGGCCGGAGCCTCGCTCGAGGCCGGGAGGCCTCGGCCTCGCCCCGTGGTCGGTCGCCGGCCACGGCGGCCGGCGATCGGCCAAAAATAAAGGAAAAAGAAAAAAATAAAAATAAAAAATAATTAAAAATTCGATTTAAAAATAAAAAAAATATTAAATTTTTTTTATTTTCTTGGATAATGACTTTATGGAAAATATTTTCTAGAAATGTCGCATTTTTCGTAAAACAAACAGAACCTCAATTTTAAAAAAAAATTATAAAAATTTTTCACTAGCTTTGTATTGCATAAAATGTTTTAGCAGTATAATTTAAAAAAAAAATCATAAGAAACAAGTATTCCTAGATTAGGTTAAATATAAAAGTATTTTAGCAATATGGGTCGGGTCGGGTATGGGTCGAGATATTTACACTATGAATAAATGGGTCATAAACGGGTTAATAGGTCAATTTGGGTCGGACCATTTATGACCCGACCCAAATCCGACCCGACCCACCCATTTAACGGGTCTATTCTCACCTTTCCTTCGGAACTTTTTCGGGGACCATCATCATTAGATGGAATTATTTAATGAGTTTTTAATCCATGTCGATACACATCGCATTATTTATAATGTTAACTCCTTCGATGTTATCTTTTAAGCACTTAGAAGGTATGTGCGTACTCAAAACTAGAGCTACGAAATTAATCAGCAAGACGACCGATGTATTATACTATGGCAGTAGTACAATGTATGGCAGAAGGGACGCGAAGCAGAAACATAGCCGCAATCAAATTAGCCCAATCCAGGCGTTAGGCCGGGGGGAACAACGAGACGCATCCGCAGCTTTGTTCAGGCGCAGCTCGTCGGGTTCGGGTCGGGCCGGTGCAAAGGCGCCGAGGGCGGCGGAGCTCGGCGGTGAAGAAATTGTGTTTTTCTGTTTTTGTATTTCTTATCATCTCTTGTATTGTACAAGTGTATTGTATATATAGATATTACAAGAGCCCTAAATTAGGGATGATTGAGGATGATTAAGGTAAGTAGAGATTATGGGAGCAATATTCTTAAATTAGATACAAGAGATAAGATTGCTGACTAGGAACGTTATCATCCTCCCGCAAGCGAAGCATTGTCAACAATGTGAAGCTTGGACCGTAAAAGACGAACCCGTGCTGATGACAGTCCTTTGGTGAAGATGTCCGCGATTTGATCACAGGTGTTGATGTAACGAATGTCAAGTAACTAGCAACTCACTAATTCATGAACATAGTGATAATCTATTTCAATGTGTTTAGTGCGACTATGAAAAACGGGATTCCGAGTTAGGGCAATGGCAGAGATGTTGTCGCATCACAATACAGGAGCGCGGGGAAGCGAGATCCGTAGTTCTCGGAGAAGAGAGAGGAGCCATTGAATTTCGGCAGCTGTTTGAGCAAGACAACGATACTCGGCCTCTGTAGAAGAACGGGCAACAGTAGGTTGCTTCTTTGCACTCCAGGAAATAGGGTTGGCCCTGAGAAATAAACAATAGCCACTAGTAGAGCAGCGATCATCGGGACTGCCGGCCCAATCAGCGTCACAATAGGCATGTAAAGAAATAGGACCAGGCTGAAGTTGCATGCCATAAGAGATTGTGCCTTTCAGGTATCGAAGAATACGCTTTACAGCTCGCCAATGGTGTTCTTCGGGTGCTTTGAGAAATTGACAAGCCTGGTTAACAGCGTAGTTAATGTCAGGACGACTAAGAGTAACATATTGAAGTGCTCCAAACACTCCTGTATAGAGTAGGATCTGAGACAGGGTCACTGCGTGAATGACCGAGTTTATCCAAGGTAGCAGGGCTGGAAACAGGCTTGCAGTCCAGCATATTGGTGCGATATAAGAGGTCATGAATGTACTTTGCCTGATTAAGGAAGATGTGATGGGGGCTTCGTCGAACGAGTTGAATGCCCAAGAAATAAGTCAAAGGGCCTAAGTCCTTCATCTTGAAAGAGTGGCGAAGTTCCTCAATGATAGCAGAGATAGCAGTGGAATCATTTCCTGTTAAAATAATGTCGTCAACATATGATAATAGATAGATAATGGTAGAGCCATGATTGTAAATGAAGAGCGACGGATCTGAGATAGTGGTTGAAAAACCAATGTCTTCGAGCCGAGCTGTAAATTTTTTGAACCAAGCGCGAGGTGCTTGTCGGAGGCCATAGATAGATTTGTGCATTAAGCAAACAGAATGAGGAGCAGTAGGATCAACATAGCCTGGTGGTTGAGCCATATATACAGTTTCCTGGAGATCGTCGTGTAAAAATGCAAATTCGACATCAAGTTGTTGAATCACCCATCCATAAGTGACAGCCAGTGTGAGAATGACCCGAATAGTAGTATGGACTAAAAGTGTCCACAAAGTCAATGCTAGGCTGTTGGTGAAATCCTTTCTCTACAAGGCGAGCTTTTGTAGTGACTGATGGTGCAGTCTGGGTTATGTTTTATCCGGTAAACCCATTTGCAGCCAACGACGTTCATGGTTGGATTAAATGGCACAAGGGACCAGGTGTGTTGTTCCTGTAAGGAATTAAATTCCTCATCCATAGCTTTTCTCCATTCAAGTGATTTGGAAGCTTGAGTGTAGCACGTCGGCTCCAAGGGAAGAGAAGAAGTAAGAGCAATGGGGTAACGAGCAGTAAAGGTTTTTGGTTTGAAAATGCCATGTTGAGAACGTGTGATAATGGGATGAGTGCGGGTGGGAGGTGGTGGGGGAGGGGGTGGTATGGTGGTAGGTGGTATAGGGGAAGGTAAAGGGGGAGATGGGGGGTCATCTATGGTTAGCGGAGCGGAGGCAGCACCGTCGGCGGGGCTGATGGTGGGCTCAACCCATGCGGTATCTGTAGGGGCAGAGATTGATGGTAGCCAGATGGAGAGAGGACCAGGTGAGGGCAAAGTGGTAGGAGATGGTGGAGAATTTGAGTTTGTGATAAACGGGTAAACAGATTCGTCAAATTTGACGTGACGAGATATGTAAACTCGGTGACTTTGCATGTCATAGCAGCGATACCCTTTATGAAAGGTACTATAGCCCAAAAAACAACACGAAGAAGAGCGGAACTCCAATTTGTTAGAACAATAGGGATGGAGCCAGGGATAACAAAGGCATCCAAAGGCTCGTAAATGATAATAATCGGGAATTTGTTGAAACAATTGTTGATATGGGGAAATTTGAGAAATAATAGGCATGCGGTTGATGAGATATATAGCCGTATTGAAGGCTTCAAACCAAAAGCGAGAGGGCATGCCAGCTTGAGCTAGAAGAGCGAGGCCAGTTTCAACTACGTGGCCATGTTTTCGCTCAACGACACCATTTTGTTCAAGCGTATGTGGGCAGGAAAATTGATGACGAATGCCATGAGTATGAAAATAAGATTCAACTGCATCACTAGTGAATTCGCCACCAACATCGGAGCGGAAAAATTTAATTCGATGGTTAAATTGATTTTCAACTTGCGGTTTGAAAGCCAGCAAAATTTCGTAAAAATCATATTTATGGCGCATAGGAAACATCTAGCTGTAACGAGAGAAATTATCGACAAGCAGTACATAGTAGGAAAATTTTGAAATAGAAGATACTGGGTCTGGTCCCCATTCCTCACAATGAATCAGTTCAAGTGGAAATTGAGCGCGTGTGTGAGACAACAAAAAGGGTAACTTGCAACTTTTGCCTAACTGACATGCAGAACAAAGAGAGTTGTCATGCTTATTTGATATTCGAAGTTGTTTAAAAATAAGATTTTGAATAGCTGCAGAAGGGTGGCCGAGACGATGATGCCGGGTGGAGGGGTCAATGCGAGAAGAAAATGTAACTTGAGGCTTGAAGCAAGGTTTGGGGAACCGCATAGGATAAAGCCCAGTCTTAGTCCAACCGTGATGTAGAATTTGCCCCGTTAGCTTGTCCTTCACAACAAATTGAGAACCATCAAATAGAAAATAGTAGTTGTTGTCTTTAGCAAAACGACTAACTGAAATTAAATTGGTAGATGCTAGAGGACAACGAAGTATATTAGTTAATTGCATGGAAGAAACGGGATGTGAGAGAGAAGTGGAACCAACATGAGTATTAGACAAACCTTGGCCATTTCCAACCTGAACTTCATCAGAACCACTATAGGGAGTGGCGATGGAGAGATTACCCAGATCGGCTGTAATATGATGGCTAGCCCCAGTAGCAGTATACCAAGTGCCATCGTCAGTAGGTGGTGCAATAGCCATGGCAGCAAGTTTTTCAGGAGGATTATGACCGTGGTATGCATAGTTTATGCGATGATAGCAGTCAATGGCACTATGGCCATGTTTGTTGCAGATCTGATAGATCAGGTGACCAGTATTCAGTTGACGACCTTGAGGTCGAAATGATGGAGTAGGGAGAAGTCCGGCTTGATTGGAATGACCCATGCTGCGTCCCCTATAACTGGTGCCACCCCTATAGGGACGAGATGTGAATGAGTGCTGCCTAGGAGAGAGAGTTCGAGGTTGCTGGTTTGCAACGAAGACTGAAGTAGATTTGGATATTGAATCATCGGTGATACTCAGTTCTTCAAAGAGTAGGAGATTGTGTAAATCTTCAATGGTGATGGAAGTTTGATGAGCACGAACACGAACAGAGGATGCAAAGGAGTGGTACGCAGCAGGCAATCCATCAAGAATGCAAATTAGGAGATCATCATCACTTACTGGGGATCCACAAATTGCAAGTTTATCAGTTAAAGTTTTGAATTGTTTGAGATATTCTTGCATGGTGAGGTTGCCCTTCTTGAGGTGATGTAATTGTCTTTTGAGAGACATTACATGAGCATGAGTGAGAGAGGCATAGCGACGAGCAAGGACATCCCACGTGGCTTTTGCAGAAGTAGCGCCAACGACAAATGGAAGTGCAGATTCAGAGAGAGTAGCGTTGATCCAGGAGAGTAGCATCTGATCTTTTTCGATCCATGTCTTGTAATTTTCATCCGTTGAAGTAGGCGCTTGGGAGGTTCCATCAATGTAAGACATGAGGTTGTGGCTTTTGAGAATTGGTTCGAAAAGAGAGCGCCAGAGAAGATAGTTCGAGCTGTTCAATTTGATGGGTATCAAGTTGGATATGTTTGAGATAACGAGTGAGGGAGATACGACAGATGAAGACGACTGAGATGATGGATTAGGGCTTGTCGACATTTTCTTTGGAAAGAAGGAAGACGATGAGGAATGAGATGAGAAAGAAACTTCAGGATCGTAAGACGGATTATGCCAAATGCAGCTCTGATACCATGAAGAAATTGTGTTTTTCTGTTTTTGTATTTCTCATCATCTCTTGTATTGTACAAGTGTATTGTATATATAGATATTACAAGAGCCCTAAATTAGGGATGATTGAGGATGATTAAGGTAAGTAGAGATTATGGGAGCAATATTCTTAAATTAGATACAAGAGATAAGGTTGCTGATTAGGAACGTTATCAAGCGGCGCTCGTGGACGTCAATCTCGTACGCGTAGCAATGTCGGACCAGCAACGCCTGCACCAGCGGACTCTCCATTTGTAATGTACGTCTCTCTCCTTTTGTTGCTCTCCCATGTTACGAAGGTGACTCGGCTTTTTGATGCTGCGGATATGTTTATACGCAACGACGGCAGATAAGTTGAATGGATGGACTTTATCGCACGGACTACGAGAGACGAAAACAGTGGGCACCGCCAGTAAGCCAGTCTTTTTTTCCGAGGGCTGGGTCGGGCCGGTCGTTCGCATTATCTTCCCCTCTAGCTTTTGAGCTTTGCTCTGTTGTGATGTCTGCTATAATGTGCTCAAAACTTCATCTACGTAACGAAATGCTGAGTCTTTCTCGACACCCCCAGAAGATTAAAAGGAAGAAGACCGAGGATCAAGCATTGTTTGGAAAGGCAGAGCAGAACACAAGCGCTAACCGATGCTAAGTTGAAACGATTTGACGGAATAATTGATCAACCAACAAAAATGAAACATTATGGGAGCATGTGAGCAAATAGCTTAGTTCTTTTCTGTAGTATGATCAGCAAGCTGAGTCCAATGAACCTAGCTCTTGCCAGAAAATTTGGGAAGGTGCCTTAAGTAATACAATGATAGAAATTGCAAGTTTGTTGCTCATGTTTAAGTTATTTGTCCCTATACAAGCCTGAATTTTACTCTAGGAAGGGTTAACTCTGATCTTCTAGTCGTAGTACCCTGTCATCTCTTTAATCCTTGAAGATTCAGCGAGCTATGGCATCCGATTTGAATTGGTTGACCCGAGTATGCACTCGCGAATCTCGACTCGACCCATCACCCGTGGTCGTAAAAACTGTACTGCTTATACCTAGAAAACTCCCTCAACTAGCCCCGCTACGTCTGTCAAATGAAAAGTCTTTTGGAGCGATGTCTATCTCGTGCTGAACCTGCGTTGTTGGCTCAGGAATGGAAGCCAATTGGACCGCTCTTTCGCGGTCGACCGTGCCATGTTCCATGCTGGGATTATTGTACAAAGATGAACCATCGCCCTGGTGGAAATGGGTCGGGGACGGAGATTCGTTGTTTAGCTGATCTGCATCGAAATTGGATCGCCTCGGGGACGTGTGATAGCTGTCTATTTCGCTGCGGTAGTTGCGCAAGAGGTGCACGGGGGACATGTGATGCGAAGGCGTGGTCGGCCTGCTGGACATGGGCGTCGTGGAACCTTTGTTCTGTTTGATGTGCTTCTTGGCGGTTTGATGCCAATTCCGCAAGGCCATGGCCACTCTCTCATTGAATATGGTAGGTTTCATAGTCGACCCCATCTGCATCAATTCAAGCATTTGTAAACTTAAACCCACGATTTCAGAACTCTCGGATCGAAACTGCGAGATTTACAATGTCATTCCGTTACCTGCGTCACGAGGGCATATAGAGGAAGGGTGACATAGCTACACAGAATCTGAATGAGGACCCTGAAATTTATAAGGAAAATATCACCAACTGGTTTAGTCTTACCAAGAACAAGAAAGCGAGTAAATCAAGAGCTGGGACTTTCTATGATGATAATGTTACTGAATCAGACTTACCCCATTGTGACTCTGATTATTCTATCTTCCGTGTGCGCATGAAAGCAAGACTTCAGTCCAAATTCATACTGAAAAGACAGAAATGGAATCGTGTTAATTCGTTCGAAGTGGCTAACCAAACAGCAAAAATTCTGGCCCATATGTCTCTTGTACGAAGAATCGGAGCAGTTCTTACCCAAGTCCAGGCAAAGAAGGCAAGCTGAAAAGCATTCTGCAGATAATGAAGGTTGAGACACAATGAGAAAATCTAAGTCCAACTTCAGAGAAAGCACACACATGCGGACCGCATGAATAGTAATCATAGCAGATACTTGCGACGTTACCTGAAAGAGAACGAAATTGATGAGATAGAGGATGAGGCGGGGCCGGTTGAACCAGAAGAGTTCGTCGCCGGGTTTAACGACCGGCACGCCCTTCACGACCTCCCCTCTCTCTTGAATTCGGAGCCCCATTTTGGTGATGATCACCTGTAGCTTGGTCCCGACCAGAAGTATAATCTGCAGGTCCAAGCATCGACCACTTAATTTCATTAATGAGGCACCAAAACAGAGTCTTCTTGGTATCAATATCAAAGTCAGAAACATGTAAATTCAATAGTGAGCTCAGACTTACAATCAGTGGGATGAATGGAAGCCAAAAATAAGAATGCCAGCCTGATTGTGGCAAAAGAAAGCATAGTTAGAATCAGTGTGATATCCGGGCATGCAGCATTGATGAATTGGAAAACACTTCGTGATCATCGATTACCGTACCGTGGGTATTGAAGAGCAGGAACAGAACCGCGAAAAACCATATCGGAGGACTGCAATCGAGATTGCGACACGATCGATCAGCAGCCACATAGTACTTATGATATTCGAGGGCGAATTTCGGCTATAGAGAATTTATAATTCATTAGTCGTAAAACATTTCGAGCACCAACCTGATCCCTACAACCACCTTAAAGTCCTCTTCCAGAGATCTATTGATGTATTTCTGGAAATCGAACTTCACGTGGCTTTGAGGAGCCAAATGTGCCTGAAAAAATGGGGAATTAACTAACGCGGCCCGTCTTCACTAATCATTTAATTAAACCATGCTTCAGAAACGTCTGCAACGAAAAAATAAATAAATTATTAGAGTTAGAATTAGTATAAAGGGCTTACCATAATAAAGCCGTGCCTTAAAGTCAAGTAATCTACTTTTGGAACGGACCTCACGAATTGCCTGAAGAAACAAACCTGCCCAAAAATATTAAATAAATATCGAATAAACAAATGAAATAAATTCCGGATTAGTCTGGAGAAAATTGTAATTAGAAATTAAGACAAAAGACCAAAAACACATTCAACGATGACGACAGCAAGTGGCTAATGAGAAAAGGTCAACCTTCGAAATTTACGATCAAGAATGACATTGGAAGTACGTGTCGAACGTATAAGTTAGACTACGAAGACCGTCGTCGTTTTGCCCTTTTCATACGAAAGACATGCAGAAATTATAAAAAGAAAAAAAAAATAAAGAAATGAAGAAGAAATTTCCTACAATGTTGAAGCTAACATGGGACACCCCCTCTTGTCTTAAAGACGGATTTATTTTTATCTCTCTATTTTCCATTTTTAGATGCACAAAATTCCATTTGCAGTAATAAATTTCAAAATTAAGGAAATGATTTTATTTCCCAATTGTTGTGCCTTGTTTGATCACGACGTATGGTTTTCAATCTGCTAATTTGTCAACAGTCTTTTAGAGATAATGGCTACGTGCTGTGGTGGCTATTTTTCTAGAACGAATTCGAAATTAGCCTACCAACGTTTTACGTTAGCGAAACCTCCTCAAGCGACCCGAAAATTGAAGAAATTAATTCCGTTTGGAAAAGCAAATATCGGGAAATTAGAGTTCTCTTTGTTTCGAGGAAAAATTGATGATTTGGAAAACATATTTCTAAAAATGATCGCTTACAAAAATGAATGAATGAAAAATATTTTCATCATCAATGAAAATATTTAGATATAAATTATTATCGACAAAAGATAATACTTTCTATTGATTAATTATTTCAAGTGATGCAAGCGATCATTTTTAGGAAAATGATTTTTAAAACATCAATTTCAAGTCCGTTTATTTCACGAAAAATGAATGATTTGAAAAACATTTTTCTCATTATATCGTTTAGAACAATTAGCTAACAAAAAAACCATTTTCATCATCGATTACAATTTACGCTTAAACATTTTCGTGAATAATGTAACTATTTTTCATTCATTCATTTTTGTAAGTAATATAAGTTTTTTATTTTTATGAGAACGTTTTCCAAAACATGGTTTTCCACAAAACAGGAGAGAGAGAGAGAGAGAGAGAGAGAGAGAGAGAGAGAGAGAGAGGAGCTGGTGCTTACGATCCAGATGAGGACGGGGGTTTTGGTCCAGAATCTCATGTGCCTCCGCCCGAACGACGTCTCCCTCGCGAACCTGAACCTCTCCGGATCTGCGTCCACAACATGCACAAAGGTTACAGTTCGCTCGCATGTTATGACCTTTTTTAACTCAAGACGAGGTGTTGACGATGACGGTGTTTTGCTAAGGATGGATGACTGACCGTGCGTGAACTGGTACTCCGCGGTCCTGGTTTCCTTCTCCCACGCCTTCCAGCTCCTCATCTGAAACCAAAAGTCATCATTCGGGTTTCGATCTTGTCAAGGTTGTGGTCGATGTACGAGGACATGGTGAGGTGTGGTGTAAGGGTTAGGGCACGCTACGTACCTTGGCTCGGCCGAGAGCCATGGTGAGAATACAGTAGAGGACGTGGAAGACGGCCAGGACGAAGATGAAGATGTGGAGCTGGTGGATCCCGTCTGCCGATACGAATGGCACCTTTTTCTGCAAAAATGACAAAGTTAAATCATCGTGTATCTTATGTGAATCTCATCAATTTTTCATGCGATTTCACTTGCAAGTAATCGGGATTTCATGCTGACGTGAGTGATTGACCCGACTTTCTTACTGTTTACAAGGTGTTTTTTTTTTTTCTATGTAAAGTGTTTGATCTGATGAAATTTTATTGACTAGCGCTTTAGGGTACTGGTTAAATAAATAAATTATTCCGCGCCATGAAATATCACTACATGGAAATTGAAATATTACTTTCTACCGGAAACACAAAAAGCTTAGAATAAAGGATCTTCGGATTCTTGAGACAAGAAGTCGTGACCCAAAGGATGGAAACTAACTTTCTAGGTGTAATAATTTTTTTTGCCGTATTTCCTAGATAGCAAAAAGTGACGTTGTCTTGTCTTAATTGAAGTCTAGTTGAAAGTATTTCGGAAGTAAAATACCGAATGCATTGGGTAGATCGGGAAGCGCGTTCTTACAATAGTTCGACGTTGTAGATCAGCGAGATACACAAAAGTTAACTCGAATCATCAATCTTATTGTTTTGAATAAAAAAGATGAATACATAAAATAGAACGATATAGAATTATGGATCGAATTACCTTAGCCGCGCAATTGTCGTAGGTGGCGCCCGCGAGAACCCGGCGCCCGCCTCCGGGGGAGTCGGAGAGGCCGAGCAGTTTGCGCCCGTTGGATTCGTGATCGGACTCCTGGGACTTGCTGCACGGATGCCACGTGGCCCCGACCTTCTCCGAGATGCATATGTTCGATATCGGGCCTTGCCCCACCGTGAGCAGCAGCGATATGAACCCCAGAAGCATAAGCTCTGCAAACCACAAACAAAAAATTGGAAAAAAAAAAAACACCCAAAAGAAAAATTCGAAAGTTAAACATCAATTTAAAAACAAAAATGGAGGGGGGAAAGCATAAAGAAACATTGGGGGATCAAGTTTGCTGTCCGATGCACGTAGATAAGGCGGTTTGCATGTATCGGTAGATCAAAATTTGATGAATATTGGGCACACGCTAAGGTCAAACCGTTAGCTCTTTTGCAACATATTTCGCGTCTGTTAGCATTGATGCAAATATTTAATTGTAAGCGTTGCTACCCTCGTTATCAAAAAATTAAAATAAAGAAAGAAAGCGGTGATAGAGAATTGAAGTTTCACCTGATTTGATTTTCTCGAGCGACTCGTAAAGAGCTCTCTTGTGCTTCTTCTTCAGCCACTGCAAAGAACACGAGACAAAAGGGGGTTTTTTTTTTTTCAATCACTACGGATTCCGTCGAACACCTTATCATCATCCTCACGGATTCTTGCGCGTGCGGAGCGCAGTCCAGGAAGGGAAGTGAGAGTATGAGACTGCCGCATTAATGCGTGTTCCATCAAAACCCTTCTTCCTTTGGGACGCGATGTAAGATGGCGACGGAAGAGCGCGCGCGTACCTGTCCGATGATGTGGATGATGTGCTCGATGATGATGGAGACCAGGACGAGGACGAAGCAGACCACGGCGACCGCCCACGTCGGTGTCTGTTCCAGCGATTTCCCTCCGCTGGCTCCCGCCATTTCTTTCTCCCGTTCCCTCCTCTCTCTCTCTCTCTCTCTCTCTTGGCTACAGAGATACGTTCGTCGATCTACTATCTTACCAGAAAAGCTCTTCTTTTGTGCAGAGGTGGAAGAAACTGGACGAAGTATATGTATGGATGGTAACTGGTAAGGGACAGAGGAGGGAATATGGATGGAGAGTGAGCAACGTCGAGGGGTCTTTTATATGGAAGTTAGGGTTAGGGGAGAAAGACGAGAGGTGCACGGCAAGGCGAAAAAGATGACGACTTGTGACTACTGTACGCGTCGTATTTGGTAGAGAACTAGAGATAGAGAGAGAGAGCGTTGCTGTTGACTTTGTTTTTTGCTAGAAAGCGTTGCTGTTGACTTGATCGGAATATTATAATGTAAAGAGGAAGAAGAAGGACAGTTTTGACTGCATGAGATGAGCAAGAATTATCTTTATAATAGCAGGATGTGCGAGTCAACCCCCGTCCCCATTCTCCTCCCCAATGGCGTCCACAAGATTTTCCTACCTCCGCGAAAACGAGCGGCGAACGGCACCTGCAGTCAGCACTCGCGACTCGTGAAGTTTCGCAGCTGATCACACCTCCTCCCCCAAGAGTACTCAAAAGACTCCAGGCTAATACGCTGCGCCTTACTGAACACAACGGGAATTTCGAACGTGATTAGCAAAGCTAAGCGATACCAGCACACTAGCACAGGACGTTTCGTTCATGTTTCGGCAAAAGCGGACCATACTTCTCGAGCTGTCCAAAGTCTTAAAAGAAAAAATAGTAAGAGATCATTTGTGAATTCACGTGTCGATGTTTATATGTCGTGATAATTTACTCAAATCGGGTTTACTCATCACGAAAGAAAATATTGTGGACACAAAAGAGATCCAAGGACATTTATATATAGGCCCAATTCCTTACCAAAAAAACCCCAACTTCATGTGCAGTTTCAATTTTGTCCCGAACTTTTTTTGTCTAAAAGAACCCTAACTTTAAGGTTCAGTCCAATTTCTGTTCCCAAACATTTTTTTTTGTTTAAAAAAACCCATACTTTAGATCTAGTCCCAATATCTATCATTGAATTTTTTTTTTGTAAAAAAAAACACAAATTTTAACTCTAGTCCCAAATTTTCCTGAAACTTTTTTTTATCTAAAAAAATCACCGACTTTCAATCTAGTTTCAAATTGGCCCCCCCGGTTAACCTTCCGTCCAAAAATCACCATTAGTTGTATACATTTCCACGTTGGTAACAAAATCCATGTCGGTAAGGTGACGTGAAAAATCATCTCCAAAACAAAATCATTCTTTGATATGAAAATTAGGGAAATTAAGGATGACTAAAGGCGATTTTTTAATGGAGGGCTAACGGTAAAATATTTGAAACTAGAGTTAAAGTTGATGATTTTTTAGACAAGAACAAGTTTGGGGCCAATTTGGATTGGACCTTAAGTTAAAGGTTTTTTTTTTCGACAAAAAAAAGTTTCGGACAGAATTGAGATTAGATTAAAAGTTAAGGGTTTCTTTGGGAGATTAGGCCTATATATATATTATAACAATAATTTTGACAATCCAAGGATATAAAGGAAAATTGTTTCTCCACCTATCCCAAGAGATGTAATGTCAAGTCACAATGGCCGTTAGCATGCAACTTGCTACCATTTGTTTTTTTTTTTTGTAGTTGATGATTTGGACTTCCTCATTAACGTTGATTCTACCCTATTCTTTCTCGACTTTTCAAAATATGCAATCTGTTTTTTTTAATGATAATAAAGTGGTTTGAAAGAACAAACGTTCCATTAAAATATAGGAAGCTCCTTCTTCTTAGCCACACAATCAGGAGTCTTGACTGACTAATTGGGCTCAGAGATAACCATTAGTCTTACCATAGATTGTCCATTTCTCATTGATGCTTATATGCTTTGTCTTTTCTGTGGTATTCTGAATTCTCATTCTTCCTGACCTGACCCAGTCTTGGTCCGACAATACAAAACCTAATACGGCATACAAATGCCTTTTTGCGCCTGAAAAATTGTCTCTAATCGTAATTTGTCTTCTTCTTTTTTTTTTTAAAGTTGTTTGACTTCATCAAATCTTCTCTGTTTGTGTTTTTTATGTGAAAATTCTTTTGTCAAAATAATGTAGATTTGCTAAATTGAGATGCGAATAGCACTGCATATAATGATAGAGTAGTTGATTCGGCTTGTTCCACGGGAGAATTCAGCCCTGAGATTACTCACGTGAACCCAAGGAGTATGCGAGTTGGCCATTTCAAAGATCCGTGAAACCCTTTTTCTTCTTCTTATATATATATATATATATATATATATATATATATGTGAAAGTTTTTTCTCTTTCACCTCGTCTTGCTTGCCGGATTTCAACACTCGTCCATTTTATTTATTTCACACGGTGACCGAATCAAATCTCGAAACCGAGCCATCTCTCCTCTCTTTCCACGCTGTGGCCGACCACCTTCGCCGCTAGCACATTCACCATCACTACCTCCGGTCCAGTGCCGTTGCCGCCACTTTGTTCACCAGCTACATCTCAACTAGGGGTAAGCATAGTTCTAGGATAGAACCAGGAATCAAAAAACCCACCGGTCCGATTTCAAGTTACTCTGGCATATATGCAGAATAGGTTCCAAGTTCCAAAAATTGAAAAATCATTCCGATTGGTAGCTTCCAGGTGACCGACTCTGGAACCGCTCGCCCCTAATCTCAACATTACCGTCTCTAGATGTTAGGGATACCTTTGCCACCTTTGAGATTCGGCCAAGATCTCATTAGTGACCGCTTAGTTCGGCAGAACCACCTCCTGTGGAGCCCGTCATTGACACTTAGAGCTTAGTGGACGGCGACGAGACGGAGCTAGTTGGTGACCTCAAAGCTTTATCACCACGGCGGTGATGGCATAGAGTGCGAAGGCTACCATCGACGGTAATGCACACACCACATCGGCGATGACAACTGGAGGGGCCAAGCATAGTATTGCGTAACGGGAGAGAGAAGAGGCAAAATTGAGGCTTTGAGGAGTGTTTTCCTCGCGTGCACGTTTCAAATCTGAAAAAAAAAATGTTCATAGCATACAAACTTAGATTGCGTGTTTGTGGCAATTCGTACCACCTCAGTGTACTATAATTTCTATTGAAAAAGCTAAACTTTGATTTATCTAACATTCGAATCGTTTTCAAATTTCTCAACGTCATGCTCTTTTGAGCGTGTCAAGTTGCGTTAATTCTTTCAGAGTGACTTCAACCACAAAGCTTAATTGCTGTGATATGATGAAGGATAAATATTACCCAGACGTATTATATCAAGAATTCGTGGAGATCACACCGGATCACCCTAAAATTTCATATATGTAGATGCGCAAATCGTCTTTGTGATTGGTTATGTTCATAAAAATCACTCATAAAATGAGTTTACATATACAATTTTTTTTCCATCCACGACGCATCCGGATCTCTCTATTTAAAAATAATAAATCAATCTGATTGGTGCACATGATCTCAATAATGTGCCTGACTTACTCTAACATCTTAACACCATAAGAAAATTATTTTTGTTGAAGTAGGTTGCATGAGGGCAGCCGTTGATGACCATAGGATTAGGGAATAGAAGATTCGATCGGGAGGAGTTTATTATGTTTGCTTTTCTGCAACTAATTTTGTTACTTCTTCTTCTTTTTTTCGTTTTTATACGAGTCCATTATAATTTTTATTTAATAGCTTTTTCCTAATAATAGGAAAGATTTGTCTCCTCATATGGTTGTTTTTAATTTACACAAGTAAGAGTTTGTAAATTTTTAATGCGTGCTTTAAAAAAGAAAGAATTTTCATAATATAAACTTAAAACACTTCAGTATTTAAACTTGCTTCAATGGGAGTCTTTGGTTATTTTTGCCCCAATCGAAAATAAAGAAAGAAAAATTCCTTTATCTACACTTTATACTTAAAGAACCCGGTATTTTGAAATTGGTTCCTAGCAAAATCAATATCTGTGCGAACAACTAAATAGAACAGAGCAAATAAAGCGGTAGGGATATATCAGAAAATTACACATTTTATTAATCTTTCGTGTTGTAGCTTGGAATTATTTATGAAGAACAAATGGTCAAAATAAAGATATAACCCGCGAACAATTAACTATGCTATAATTGACTAAGTATATCAACTTGTGGCCTAACAACATAGGACATATTCAAATCTTGCCTAACTATGCTTTGATACATCTTTCATTTGTAACCCCGTCTGCTTAAATTATATCAGCCCTAATTTTCAAGGAATTGTCTTGTTTAGTTTCAAGTTGCCTAAACCTATTGTACGGCATGCAATTCATTCATAGACCTTTCAATTGTACCAATTTTGTCTCACACCTTACAATTGTGCCAATTTAATCATAAACATTTCGATAATTAGCCAATTTAATCCTAAACCTTCTAATGATTTGCCAATTTATTCATTCCGGCAAATTTTGATTGGAAACCACTGACGGTGGCGGTCCGGAGAGATGGGAACAGGCTTAGTGTTAAAGTTTGACACTGACCTAACTATATATAATTTAATAGGACAAGCTTAATCCAATGTTTTCTTCATCGCTTAGCCCGGACAGGTTGCTTCTAGTGGACAATGGGCACATCCAATAATCTAGTTTCCATTCAATGCGAAGACATTACATGTTAGGATTAGGTCAAAATAATGACCAAAGGGACATGTGGGCCGAATATCGTTCCTATTCGCTGACCGAGTATAACTAAACCATCGATAGTTACTCCAATTTGTCTTGTACTTAACGTACTTAAAGATGAAAAAAAAAATGACATCTTTTTCGTTGTGCAAAGAACAATATCAAAAACAATCTAATATATATGTTAGGATTGGGTCAGAATAATGACCAATTGACCGAGTATTACTACGTTTAAAGAACGATATTGGTAGCTACAATGACTCTTACTAGTGGAGGCCTTAACTGCAGTCTTCGCATACCATGTCACTCCTTGATTTGGACAAAAAGGTTTGTTTTATGATGGTTTTCGTCGTGTACTTTTGGCCTTTAAACACCGATCATTCCGTGATCCGAGAAAGGACAAGAAGAGAACGGTGTTTTTCTTTTTGAGGGTGTCCCAGAAAATCAATAGTTGGAATCGATCCGTTCCTTGAAATTCATGATCCCGATCAAGACTTTTAGATCAGTTAGGTCGCCATTGATTATA